CATGGATAGCGTGATTTTGTGTGACTTTTCTTGGTGTCTGGGATTGAAGACAACTTCCATGTGATGCAGATTATCCAGAACTCTGCAGCCCATGCCCTCTCAACCACCAACAAGTTGCACTTATATGGAAGCAAATAAAATGGAGCAGGCTTGAGTTTTAAGTCAAGCAGAGATCACACATTAAGATGTAAATAAACATGCTTGAAAATAATCATCCTACACTGCAGAACCTTTAAGTACTGCACCAGCCCTGAATGAAAGATCGCAAGTAGTGGACCCAGAGCAATAATCTGAGAGGTTTAGCTGAGAACCATGATAGCAAGGCTTGAGAGCATTCTGCAATCACAGTCTGTGATTTAGGAGGTAATTACTGGATGGAAAACATACCCAAGTTATCTTTCTAGAAAGAAAATATGCCTTGGAGGTCACGAAGAGACTTTTTTTGCATGCAAGTGTCAGTACAGCATAGTTAAGTAGCTCTAGCAAGCTCCTGTACCACGCTGTTACAGGGTAATGCCCACTCTGAAAGACCTGCATGTATAAATGATGATCTGGATGACAAGTAAACCTCACACAAGTTGTGACCATACATTTAATATAACTTATGGAAAGTATGAACTCTTGAACAGGACTTGGGCAGACGTATGACTTATACTGATCAGACTTTTACTGTACTAACATTCTTTACTAGCACTCATACACCAATTTTTTTTTAAAAAGGGCGAAACCTTGGGCAAGTTTCCTTACTCCACACGCCTAATAATAATCCCTCCAAAACCAAAAACAATAATAATTTGGTCATTTTTCAATCTGATTGTGGGACATTGCTGTGCGCAATTGGCTGCCGCGTTCGCCCACAAATATACAGTCAATTCACTTTACAGTGTGTTCTGTGAAGCACTTTGGGACGTCCTCACTTGAAAGTCAATCGTAAACTTCCGTGGATGCTTCAAAACACACAAATTAATTATACTACCGAAACTCTCATTCAGACTTTAGTCAGCGCAACACTAGATTCCTTCAACACTCTACTTGCCAGCTCTGCCATTTATAAACTCCAGCTCATACCTAACTCCTCAGCCTGTAATTTTCCCCCACAAGGTTCCACTGGTTCCAGTCCCCTTGTTGGATTTACTTCAAGATCCTTATCCAGATCTTCAAATTGCTTCACAATTTTGCTCCCGGCAACCTCTGCTATCTCTCCCAGCTCTAATTTTCCTTCCAACCATTGGCGGCAGAGCTTTCAGCCACTGTCTGAACACCTTCCTAATATCCTTCTCTCTTGTACCTATATCCCTGCCTGAAAAACACTCAATACTAAATTTTGTCACAAGGAGTAAAACACTCATTTTTAAAACAGAGCTTCTCATGAGAGAAGTCCTCCCTAGACTTAAAGCACTAGAGTTTGATTAATTTCATCCGCAAAATAGTCAATTCAATTGACAGTTATTCTGTGAAGCGCTTTGAGACGTCTCAAAGAAATGATAAGGTGCTATATCAAATGGGAGGGTTATTATTATTTGTGATTGAAGATAATTTCCATTCTTCTACGAGCAAGCAAAGTCCACATAACAATTCTAGGAGGATCTTATGCAAAATAACCAATACTTAAAAGAAACTCTGTCATTATGAATCATGTGTGACAGATTGTATTGTCACAATGACTTGCAATTCTTCGTGCCTCCAGTAATGAAAAGGTTACGCCAAAGAAAAAAAACTTTTAGAAGGTTGAGTTCCAGTTCCCAATAATTACTTCTGTTACCTTCTGCCCCACCACTTCTAAAGGTAGTAAATCAACAGAATACACAGAATGCTAACAGTCTTCAATATATAGCTATTCATTATGTGTGAGCTTGGACATGAGCTATGTGGAGGTAGGGGCAGAAACCCCTCACAACTGAGTTATACCCAGGGAAGGGGGTACAACAATTGAGGCACATTCTGTCCTTGTGTAGCACATCAGACCAAGTCACTAAACTGCAGTCAGAGGAAGAAACTCTATCTACTTTGACACTCCCTGTCGAGATCTTGCAGCCAAGATATACTTGCAAAAGATCAGCCAACTCACAATAGACCAAGAATTGAATCCGAGACTTTAACTGAATGGCTCACTTCCAATCCACCTGGCCCATTTACCCTCTTAGCCACCTGCATAAACGCGGAGTGGGGGTGTGTGTGGAGAGCCTGACAGGAGAGAAATTAACAGGAACAAGATCTAATTTAATACACAAGGTACTATTTCTAGACATGAACAAATTGTGGAACTGTGCCTCACTCACTTTTTCCTCTCTGCCCCAATTATTCTGTGCAGTTCAACTAAAATCTCTATAAGCACATCATGCAAATCAACCCAAGAGCAATGGTCAATTGATTTACAGCACTGCCTGGCATCTGCTTGATAAAAACTGCAGAGGCTCAAATTACAAAATGTTGTTTGAAGAGAACTTCCTACCCACACCCTCAGAACTTCCTACCCTCACATTTTAATTTGCCCACTATTATTTCCAGTCATCAAAGCACCATTTGATATTAAATTCATTAACCTATGTAAAAGCTGCATGGCCAAACAAGCATGGACTGTGTTAAAGAGAGCTTAGGTAGCATTTCAGTGACTGTGGCCTGTGCAATTACGATGCAACCATGTAGAAGACAAACCACTCCGATTTTATATCTAATGAAGAAAATCCAGAAAAATTCAATAAAGCGGTCAACTGCTTATTGTGGGAGTTGCCCAAGGAGTAGGAGTAGAAGGGAGTCTCTCCCATACACAACAAATTACAAGATCAGAGGCACACAGGCTGCACAACTGCTCAAAGTCACACTCAAGGTGATTTACACCATTCACAATGAAACGCTTCCCAGCAAGTGCTGGGTCGATAGCTATGGACCTAGAACGTGCTGCTCTGCACCGAGTATTCCTACTGTCTCCTGACTTATCCTGTTAGATTTTGGCACGTTTGCGTTTGGTTCACTCTTGCACATAACAGAACCAAAAACATTCCGAGATTCTAGAAAGCAAATATCAAAGGTTGTTAGAACTATCCTCAAACTGCACATCCTACCAAAGGCCACATCAGCTGGTTTTACATGTAGGGAGAGAGGGAATGGAACGAGTGCTTGCAACAGTGGGAATTTCTTTGAGGCAGACACACACTTTGGATCCTTGCAAAACCCTAAAAATATTTTAGCTAGATTTTGTCAGACAGCTGGACAAGTGGTATATTTATCCCCGTGGAGACGAATTGCCCATTCAAGGACAGAATTCATAGGCCTAACTCTGAAAGCTTGGACACAAATAGAATATTAAAAAAATGCACATTTGAACTGCACAAAAGAACACAGCAGACTCAAAAAATCCTACAAGTAAACATGCAAACAACTACTGAAACTGATAAAAAGGCACTGCTTTTACTGTATACGGTAATGGACATCTCTGGAGTATAGGTGGCACTGCCATTAAAAGGTCTTGGTACACATTTTCTGTCATAGATTACCTGAGGAACAAACAAAGTAGTAGCACCCATACAAAGTGGAATAACCACATGTAGCTGTCATCGTCATAAAATGTTGATGACACTACACTGAATATTTGGGGTGCTGAGCTGAAATCAACAAAAAATAACTTGCATTATATAGCGTCCTTCACACCTGCCAGCATCCCAGGGCGCTTTGTGATTAGTTAATAAACAAATCGAAGTTTGCTTTCAGTAATAAAATGACCCTGAATGATTCCTTCTACTGGAATATTATACTGTGCATTGCTGAAATGCTCCTGGTCTATCAGCGGAATGTGGCATTTGGAGTGAAGTAGGAAGTGATACATAAGTTTACAAGTTCCCATTGAATGCAAAACTAATTTGCATCTATGATACATTCGAGTTACAGGTGACCCATGTAGGAAACAAATTAATTTTATGATGCTAAACAAACAAAAAGTTCCCGATTTCCTAAAATATAACTATACAGTGTGACAGATGATGAGCAATCCAAACAAGCATTAATGTTAATTGTGTCACTGGTAAGAGTTGTGAACTTCAGGTGGTTAAAATTAAACATAGGCCCCTATACTGGTGTCAATCTGGTCCTCCAATGCGCTGCTCAAACTGGGTACAGAGAGAGGAAAATATTCTAACAAAAATGCTATAGCTTTTAGCATTAAAAAAAGTAAAGAAAAGTGCATCCTATTATCATTCAAAAATCCCTTAAGCCAAACTGACAATCGCTGATCCAAACATATGGGTTTTGAGGGTTGGTGGAGAGGGTAGGAGAAATGTGTGTGTGTGAGACAAGACGCAAGGTATAAGCCCCTCCAAATCCCCTTTTGAGTCATTAAAAAAANCACTACTTATCTGCCAGCATCAGACTTTTTTTAAAAAAAANCAATAAAAGTTAATGCACTTTGAACTAAGAAAATCTTCTCCCAAAATAAGTTACATATTTGTGTGCGCAAAACTCTCAACTCTTTACAAAGTTAGCTTAGGTTTAGATAGTGGCGTGTAGAAAACGCTCGTCTTTGCAAAGAAGTTTGGAGAGAGGTATAAAACGCTCCAGTGTGTATATCACTCACAAATAAGTAACCTAGCCATTGCAAAACGTAAAACTCCTGCCCTTGCAAAAGCAGAATAAGTTAGATAAGTGCATGTGTGTGTGTGTGTGTGCAGGAGACCTCTTGCCTTAGCAAACATAGTCCACCTACAGCCACCAACACGTGTGTAAGTCAGACCTCTCGTCCTTGTAACGAAGCAGTACATCTGTAGACAGATCTCGCTTTTAGCTATGGGCAGATTAGCGTTAGACAGAGACGTGACAGCAAAGCTGGACTCCGCACAGACACACACACACACACACACCCGCACAGTAAAAACAAGACGCGAAAACACGTGAAGGTAAGTAAGCTCTCCAGCTGCCGGGCACTGAGGTAAGGCGGTCCTTTGCAAAGTAAGTGCGAGTGACCATAACGTTACAGACCCCTTCCTGTGTGCGCTGCAGTGAGTGAGTACCTTGACGCAGTCGATGGGGTACATCACGGAATGCTCCATGACACCGGCCACGGCGCCGGCGATCATGTGAGTGGAGGTGGACGCGTTGCGGGGAAGGCTCTCGTACTCGGGCTCTTTGCTGCTGCTGCTGCTACCGCCGCTGCTGCTGCTGCTGTGCTCATCCGACAAATTGTCCATAATACTCAGCAGGCGGCTGGGCGGCGGGGGAGGCTTCACCACGATGTCGAAGAGCGGCGCGGCCGACGGGAGGGAGGAAGGTGGCGGCTGGCGGACGGCCACCCCGGGGCCGGGGCCTGGGCTGCTGCTGCTGCTGCTGCTGGTGACGGCGGCCTTGACCACGACGTTACCCGCGTTGCCGCCGCCGCTCTTGGCCTTGTGGCCGCCGGCGCTGGAGTTGCTGAGGGCCTCGCTGCGCTCCGGCAACTCGATCCTCACGCCGCCTTCATTTTCAAATTCCATCGAGCAGTAACTGCCTGTCGAGAAACGTCTGGGTTTGTATTTATTACTACAACAATGCTGTCCTCCCGCTCTCTCCTGGCGGCCCGACCCGACCTCCCGCCCGCGGCCTCAGCGGCGGCGGGTTTTTTTATATACTCTCTCTCTCGAAATTAAATCTTCTTCCCCCTCCGCCCCACCACCCCCCGGCCTCGATTTTAACGTCTCCCTCGCATCCCGCCGAGGGCCCCGCCGCTGCTGCTGCTGGTGGTGCCGCCTGGCTCGCTGGAGCCCGCGCCAGGGCAGGGCAGCGTGTGACGCAGCTCGGCTTCTCCCAACCGCCCTCCGCGCTCGAACCGCGCCGCGCAACCCAACACGCACTCACCCCGGCCGGCCAATCAGCGAGCCGCGCCGGCCAGCGTCCCGCCCCCCCCTCCTCGTCATCGGTCGACCTTTCCTCCCGACTCACCGTTCGCGGCTCTTTTCTATTGGTCGCTCGGGCCCGTCAGTCAGCCACAGCGCCCGCCCCCCCTCCCCGCCAGCAGGTTAGGTTGATTTGTTCGCCCCGCCCCCATCCTGTTCGGTCAGCAACCAATTGCGCATGCGCGATATCTCCCCCCTCCCCCTTCCCCCCCAGCCCGCTGCCGCTCAACCTAACCCAAGTCCCGTGCTCGGCGCTCTCGGCTCGGGCAGCGAGTTAGGTTGTGGCAGTGCTGGGCGGTCACGTGCTCAATGGCTCAGGGGTGTGTTGCAATCCATCTCAACATCGGGTGGGAAGTGGGGGAGGGACCGAGGGGGGAAAGCGCACACATTGCCCCACTTCCCCCAGTACGTTAAGAAGTGCAATTGTTGTCGCTGTGATGGTTGGCGTTTCCCACGTTCGTATTGCACGAGTCCGTCCCCATTGCCCGGCAGTAGACCACAGCATTGCTCAACGTTCCCGTTCGCCAGGAAACACATGATGGAACTGATACGCAAAGGCTCTCTTGACCTTAATAATAATAATAATAATAATCCTTGCATTTGATATAGCGCTTTCACGTCGGGAGGACGTCCCAAAGCGCTTCACAGAACACACTGTAAAGTGAATTGACTGTATATTTGTGGGTGAACGCGGCAGCCAATTGCGCACAGCAATGTCCCACAAACAGTCGTAGATTGAAAATGACCAATTTATTATTGTTTTTGGTTTTGGAGGGATTATTATTAGGCTCTGTGTGGAATAAGGAAACTTGCCCAAGGTTTCGCCCTCTGCCTGGAATTGAACTCAGGTCTCTCGCTTGCAAAGCGAGTGCTCTAACCACTGAGCTACAGGACTTCTTGCGGATAAATCGTAGCCGATCCCTGGCTACATGTTCTGGCCACATTTTTTTTAATAACATTTATTTTTTTAAAAATTGGTCCCTCGGGGGCGATGTTGCCGTCTGCAAATCTGGCTGCCGCCAACATACAGTACACACAGTCACAACACTTTGCAGTGAAGCACTTTAAGACGTCTCGACAGCGCGATAAGCTGCTGTAGGAAATGCAACAACTCTTATTATCTATTTTCTTTCGGTCAGCTGGGTATCTTGACACATGCGAAAACCCATCACCATGCTTAAGAGTATCCAAATCAAACTGAGAACCCACCTACACGTGGAAATCTCAGAGACAGATTGTTGGAATCGAATGCACACTTTCTCCCTGGAGGGACTCAAATTTACTAAATTTTTAATTTGACGGTAAAATGGTAAACAAGCAGTGGGAGGTCTTCAAGGAGGAGATAGTTAGGGTACAGAGTAAACACATCCCTGAGGACACCCAAAGCTAGAGCTCCCTGGACTAAGAAAAATGGGATTAAAATGAAATAGATAAATGTCAGGTTAAAATATATTAAGGGAATCAAGCAGAAAACACAAGGTGCAGAGGAGAACTGGAAAAGGAAATAAGAGGGTGCAAAGGGAGGGTATGAGAAAAGATTGGTGGGTAACATGAATTCTTCTATAAACAAATAAAGAGTAAAGGATTGTCAAAGGTTGGGACGATTAGATACCAAAAAGGCTAACATTTTTAGGAGGCAGAGGGCAAGGCTGAGGCTACTGAATGAGCACTTTGCATTTGTCTTCACAAAAGAAGATATCACATAAAAGCAGGAGGAGGTAGAGAAATTGGATAGGATAAAAATAGAGTGGAGGTACTGGAAAGGTTAGCAGCGTTCAAAGTAGAAAAGTCATCCAGTCCGAATTGGATGCATCCTAGGTTGCTGAGGGAAGTTAAGGTGGAAATAGCGGAGGCTCTGGCTACAATCTTTCAATCCTCTATGGATATCGGGATGCTGTCTGAGGACTGGAGTGTTGCAAATGTTACTCCACTGTTCAAAAAAGAGGAGAGGGATAAACCTGGTAACTACAGACCAGTCAGTCTAACATCAGTGGTGGGAAACTTCTAGACACTATAATCCGATACAAAATAAATTTTCACTTAGAAAAACATAAGTTAATTAATGACAGTCAACACGGATTTGTTAAAGGCAAATCGTGTCTGACAAACTTAATTGGGTTCTTTGACGAAATAACAGAGAAGATTGATGAAGGTAGTGTAGTTGATGTAGTGTATAAGATGTTTGTTAAGATGCCACATAATAGACTAGTTATTATTAGTTGGCAAAATTGAAGCCCATGGTTAAAAGGGGTAGTGGGCAGCATGAATATAAATGGTCTGGGAGACAGAAAGCAAAGAGTAGTGGCGATGGTCATTTATCAGACTGGAGGGAAATATACAGTTGTGTCCTCAGGGGTCAGTATTAGGTCCACTGCTCTTTTTGATGTACATAATGACTTGGACTTAGGTGTAGAGAGCAAAATTTTAAAGTTTGTAGATGACACAAAACTTGTGACTATAGTAAACAGTGAGGAAGATGGTAGCAGACTGCAGGAGGATATAGACAGACTGGTGAAATGGGAAGACACGGCTGATGCAGTTTAATGCAGAAAAGTAAGAGGTAATGCATTTTGGAAGGAAGAATGAGGAGAGGCAATGTACACTAAATGATACAGTTTTAAAAGCTGTTCAGGAGCAGAGAGATCTGGGGATTCACATACACAGGTTTTTGAAGGTGGCAGGAAGGTTGACGGAGCTGTTAAAAAAGTATATGGGATCCTTGGCTTTATAAATAGAGACACAGAGTACAAAAGTGAGGAAGTTCTGCTAAACCTTTATAAGTCACTAGTTTGGCCTCAGCTGGAGTATAATGTCCAATTCTGGGCACCACACTTTAGGAAGGATGTCAAGGCTTTGGAGGGGGTACATAAGAACATAAGAATTAGGAGCAGGAGTAGGCCATCGGCCCCTCGAGCTGCCCTGCCATTTGATAAGATCATGGTTGAGCTTCAGACCTAACTCTAATTACCTGCCCTATCCCCATATCCCCTAATCTCTCTATTTTAAAAAATCTATCAGTCTCAGCCTTGAAGATGTTCAAGGACTGAGCATCTACAGCCTTCTGGGGGAGTAAATTCCATAAATTCACTACCCTCTGAGTGAAGAAATATTTCCTCCACTCTGTTCTACAAAGTTGACCCTTAATTTTAAGACCGTGACCCCTGGTTATAGATTCTCCTATTGGGGGAAACAGACCCTCAGTGTCTACTTTATCAGCCCTTTAAGAATCGTATATGTTTCAATAAGATCTCCCCTAATTCTTCTGTACTCTAGAGAATACAGCCCTAGTTTATTCAGCCTATCCTCATAGGTCAGTCCCCTCATCCCAGGAACTAACCGAGTGAATCTACGCTGCACCCCCTCGAGGGCAAGTATGTCCTTTTTTAAATAAGGAGACCAAAACTGCACACAATACTCCAGGTGCGGTCTCACCAAAGCCCTATACAGTTGCAGCAAGACTTCCCTACTCTTGTACTCTAAACCTTTTGCAATGAACGCTAACAGGCCGTTCGCCTTCTTAATTATTTGCTGCACCTGCAAACTAACTTTTTGAGGCTGGTGTACAAGGACACCCAAATCCCTCTAAACACTAACACTATCTAATCTCTCCCCCTCTAGAAAATAATCTGTTTTTCTATTTTTTCTACCTAGGTGAATAACTTCACACTTCCCCACATTAAATTCCATCTGCCACCTACTCGCCCACTCCCCGAGCCTATCTATATCCCGTTGCAATCTTTTTGCATCATCCTCAGAGCTTACTCTCCCACCGAGTTTAGTGTCATCCGCAAATTTAGATACGTTACATTCAATGTCCTCGTCTGGATCATTGATGTAAATTGTAAATCGCTGAGGCCCAAGCACTGATCCGTGTGGCACTCCACTAGTCACATCTCCTGCCAATTCGAGAATGACCCGTTTATGACTCTGTTTTCTACCCATTGGCCACTCTTCAATCCATGCTAATATGTTCCCATTAATCCCGTGGGCCTTAACCTTGTGCAATAGCCTTTTGTGTGGCACTTTGTCAAATGCCTTTTTAAAATCTAAATATACTACATCTACTGGTTCCCCCCTATCTAACCTGCTAGATACATCTTCAAAAAACTCTAAAAGATTAGTGAAGCATGACTTCCCTTTTGTAAAGCCATGTTGACTGCCTAATCGTGTTATGGTCTTCCAGGAATCCCATAACGACATCCTTAATTAAGGACTCAAGAATTTTTCCTACCAGTGATGTCAGACTACCTGGTCTATAGTTCCCCATCTTCTCTCTCCCACCCTTCTTAAATAGTGGTGTACATTTACAATCTTCCAATCAATGGGAAACTTTCCAGAATCCAGAGAATTTTGTAGAGACTAGAGAAGCTGGGATTGTTCTCCTTAGAGCAGAGAAGGTTAAAGTGAGATTTAACAGAGGTGTTCAAAATTATGAATGGTTTTGATACAGTAGATAGGGAGAAACTGTTTCCACTGGCAGGTGGGTCTGTAACCAGGGCACATAGATTCAAGGTAATTGGCAAAAGAACCAGAGGAGATGAGGAGATTTTTTTTTACACGCAGAGAGTTGTTACAGTCTGGAATGCACTTCCTGAAAGTCCATTCAATAACAACTTTGAAAAGGAAATTGGAGGGCTCCTTGAAAAGAAAAAAAATTGCAAGGGGAAAGAGGAGGGAAGGGGCACTGATTGGGTCGCTCTTCCAAAGAGCTGGCAGAGGCACGATGGGTCAAATGGCCTCCTTCTGTGCTAATATTCTATGATTCTAACTTAATAACTCCAACTACTTCACTACTATTTGGGTTATACACAGATATAACAAAAGTCCCACAAAGGACCATGATCCATTCATTTGGCCAAGATACTAGGAGAAATTCCCTTTTCTTTTCAAATATTGTCCCGGCCCCCCCTACACACACACACACACACACACAGACTCCAGTACAGGGCTGGATGTCTGTCTCCGCCATGAGAGCTCAATCACTGATGTGAACCTGTAACCTTTTGACCCGCAGACAAGAGTGCTATCAACTGATCCAAACTGGGCTGTTGGAACATCGAGTGCTTTGCCAAACATAGTTATTTAGGGCGAGACCATAACATTTAAAAGCGAAATGGGTAAACATTTTGAAGATGAACAATACAAAAGGATATGGGGAAGGGAGCAGGGAATTGGGATTAGAGTAGTGAGGTAGCTCCAAGTTAGGAAGCTGGCACCAGCACAGCGTTCTATGGCTTTCATTTGTACAGCACCCTTTTTGGGGGTCAGACAGGTGTGTGACACATGCAGAAACCCTTCACCATGCTTAAGAGTATTCAAACCTAACTGGAGCTTAACTGTCAGAATTGAGCCGACTCTCTCTCTGCAGTTGCCCCAACTTACACTCTGGGGTCCCTAAACCTTGGCTCTTACCAACCTGCTCCTAATAGTTTCTGGAATTAGATAAGCATGATGCATCTCTCCAGGGAGAGCGTGCGTTTTCAATTCCAACAATCTATCTCTGGGATTTCCATCTGTAGGTGGGATGTATGGAATTCTCAGTTTGGATACTCTTACGCACGGTGATGGGTTTCCGCATATCCCAGACACTCGGCTGACAAAAGAAAGCTTGTCATGGGGAAAACTGACTAATAAGCTTCCCAAGAGCCGAGTGGGGCAAACCCAGGCCGCAAAAAAATCACAGAAATGGTGAAAATGTACAGGAGTTCAATTAGTACCCACAAGAGGAAAGAAATTCAAGTTTCAGGGCTAACCTTTCATGTGAACTGAATAGGGCCCCTGGACAGAGACAAAGGGGAAAGATAAAATTCATCCAAGTTGAAACGGGCCATTAACAAGTTGTGGAATTTTATTATGAACAGAATGACCATCAAACACAAGAAGCAGGAAACAATGAAGTGGATTAAATGGACAAACATTGGGCTATTATCATGGAAAGAGATATTACAGCAAAGAATGCTAGCCCCATCCATCCAGCATGTACTGGTGGCACTATTTCAGAAGCACAACAGTTTCCTCACCCCAAAATGCTTTTGTCTGCATTAAAGGAGGTCACTACAAAATACGTAAATAATAATCCTCTCATTTGATGTAGCCCTTATCACTTTGTCGGAAGGTCTCAAAGTGCTATGCAGGATTCACTGTGAAGTGTACTGACTGTGTATTTTGTGGGTGAAATCAGCAGTCAATTTGTGCACAGCAACTTCCCGCAAACAGTGCATTGCCTAAAAAGCTGGTGAAAGCCGATTTGATAACAGCTTTTAAGAGAGAAGTAGATAATTATTTGAGAGGACAAGTTTGCAGGGCTATGGGGAGAGAGCGGGGCAGTGGGGTTGATCAGGGCTATGGGGAGAGAGTGGGGGAGTGGGGTTGATCAGGCTATGGGGAGAGCGGGGAGTGGGGTTGATCAGGGCTATGGGGAGAGCAGTGGGAGTGGGGTTGATCAGGGCTATGGGGAGAGCAGTGGGAGTGGGGTTGATCAGGGCTATGGGGAGAGCGCGGGGGAGTGGGTTTGATCAGGGCTATGGGGAGAGAGCGGGGGAGTGGGGTTGATCAGGGCTATGGGGAGAGAGCGGGGGAGTGGGGTTGATCAGGGCTATGGGGAGAGAGCGGGGGAGTGGGGTTGATCAGGTCTATGGGGAGAGAGAGAGAGTGGGGTTGATCAGGGCTATGGGGAGAGAGAGGGAGCGGGGTTGTTTGGAAGCTCTTTTCAAAGAACCAGCACAATCATGATGAGCTGAATGGCCTCCTTCTGTGCTGTATAATTCTATGATTCTATGAAACAGCCATGAAGTAACAAATTGCATAAGTGTAGATATAATCAATTATATATGGGGGTACTGTCGGCCAGTACATGGAGAGAGAAACTCCATTCTCTTATAATAGGGCCACGGGATCTGTAAGGTCCTCCTTAAGCACTTGTGTCGGATACCCGGCTGACCAAAAAAAATCCCTCCCCTTCATAAATCCTACCTCTGTCACTTCCATCACCTTCCATCCCGCTCAGGCTCCCAGTCCGTCTCAGGCTCTCTGTGGCGTCTGCGTTCCCAAACAGTGATGTCCAGATGTTGTTTGTTCTGTTCTGCATGAAGGAATATTTTGTGATTGTCACTTTCATTTCTTTCCCTCTCTCCCTCTTTCGACACTGTGAATTTTTCTCTTCAATGACAATGGTTTTATCATGAGGACGTGAATCAGTCAAATCAACAGATTAGAATTACATCATGGGGAAAGCACCTACATTGGCAAATGGTTTTGTTTTGACACTTCCTTTCTGATGCCTGACTCATAATAATAATAATCCTTGCATTTGATATAGCGCTTTTCACGTCGGGAGGACGTCCCAAAGCACTTCACAGAATATACTGTAAAGTGAGTTGACTGTATATTTGTGGGCGAACGCGGCAGCCAATTGCGCACAGCAATGTCCCACAAACAGTCATAGATTGAAAATGACCAATTTAATTATTGTTTTTTTTGTTTGTTTTTTTTTGGAGGGATTATTATTAGGCGTGTGGAGTAAGGAAACTTGCCCAAGGTTTCGCCCTCTGCCTGGAATTGAACTCAGGTCTCTCACTTGCAAAGCGAGTGCTCTAACCACTGAGCTACAGGACTCATGTGGCATGCCAACACGGCACAGACTGGTTGGGCCTGTTTCTGTGCTGTGCAGTCTATATAATCTAGGTAAAGGATTCTCAGTGTACATTACAGGGTCACAGACTATCCACTTTACTGCTGTAAAATAACGGCGTCGGTCAGTCTGTGTGTGGGGGCGTGGGCCTTTGGTGGCTAATCACAAGGGCAAATCCTGAGTAGCCAGTCCACTGCAGAATCAGCGAGCTCCCTCTGTCATTCTCAGTCTCTCTCTGGGCACCCTTTTCATGGATAGAAACCACAATTACACTCTGGAACGGATTGCGTGTCTCACAGAATCCTGTTGACCTGCGCTAGGAGGGCAGCTCCAAGGCGAGTTGGAAGTTCCTGACTTGGACCTGTAAGATTCTCACCATTCTCCTTCGCCCACACCAACCCTTCCCACACTTCAATCTGGCCCACGCAAATGTTCCCCCCCTGTACAAAAAGGGGAAGAAGGATAAACCCGGTAACTACAGGCCAGTCAGCCTAACGTCAATAGTGGGGAAACTTCTAGAGACTCTAATCCGGGAAAAAATAAATTTTCACTTAGAAAAATATGGGTTAATAAAGGACAGTCAACACAGGTTTGTTAAAGGCAAATCATGTCTAACAAACCTGAAAATGAGTTTTTTGATGAAGTGATGGAGAGGGTGGATAAAGGTAGTGCAGTTCGTACAGTTTATATGGATTTTCAAAAGGCGTTTAATAAAGTGCCACATAACAAACTTGTAAGCAAAATAGAAGCCCAAATACAAGGGTCAGTGGCAGCGAATAAGAACTGGCAGGGAGACAGAAAGCACAGAGTGGTGGTGAATGGTTGTTTTCCTGACTGGAGGGAAGTTGCAGTGCTGTCCCTCAGGCATCGATATTGGGACCATTGCTGTTTTTGATCTATATAAATGACTTGGACTTGGGTACAGGGAGGACAATTTCCAAGTTTGCAGATGATACTCCCCCTCTCTCTTCAAACCCCAGGGATACTCTCATGGGTCTGATGTTGAACACTGGACTTCTCCAACACTGGCACGAGCCGAGAGATGCCATGAACAACAAAGATGTCAGATCAGTCACTGCACGCTTGACCCTGGAAGAAACTCTCCATCTCAGCCCCTCTCTAGCTGTCTTCATGTCACGTCTAAAAACCTGACTCACTCCTACTCCCTATTCCTCCCCCCCCACCCCCCCAGTTGTGGCATCTAATCCTGCTGTTGTTGAGGTAGATCATAGAGAGAGGGGGAGGGTCGAAGAGATGGTGGGAACAATAATAATAACAATCTCTGTATTTGATATCGGGTCTTATGACATCGTTGAGACATCTCAAAGCGCTTCACAGAATATACTGTGAAGTGGATTGACTGTGTATTTTGTGGGTGAAATACAGGAGCCAAATCGTACACAGCAGCACAATTATTTAAAACAAATTTTTAAGAGATCATTACCCCAGAAAAGCGATCCGCCAATTGATTCATAACTGGGATCCTACTTACTGCTGAGTAAACAGAGGCGTGTGGAGTAAGGAAACTTGCCTAAGATTTTGTGGTCAGGGTGACAAACACATAATAACAGTGTTTACTGGGCTGAGAACAGCAGGAAAGTGACGGGGAGGAAACCCGTTGTTGAAACCTGTCAATGACCAGAAACATACTGCGTTTGCTTACATCACCAATTTGTAAATTGGGAAATGGCGCCCGTCACACTTTCAACACTGATGGGGAAAAAGGATTGCCATCAGAGAGGAAGTAAACAAACATTGTGTTTGATTTCTGATTCGCTACCTACCCGGAGACTGGTGACCACAGAGCTCAGAACAGGACCATTTTTTTAAAAAAAATTTGCCCAGCCGGGTGTCTGACATGCAGAAACCCATCACCATGAGTAAGAGTCTCCACACCAAGCTGAGAATTTCAGGCATCCCACCCAACATGTAAATCCCAGAGATAGATTGTCAGAATGGAATGCGCTCTCTCGCTCTCTCTCTCTCGCTCTCTCTCCCTGGACGGCTGCATCCTGCTTACATAATTCCAGACGTTATTAAGCCGAGGTTGGCAAGAGCCAAGGCTGGCAAGAGCCAAGGCTTGGGGATCCCAGATTGTGCATTGGAGTAACTGCTGGAATCTAACCAGCTAAAACACATTGGTATTGCTGTCCGGCAAGCTTTCCTACTGCTTGTCCAGCTGGGACCACCCTACGGTTAGGGCTTTGGCTTGCAGCGTTAAACAGTAGCTGCCCCCAGTCCTGCCATGTGCCAGGCTGGACTGTGCTGTCATCAGCAATGCCCTGGAATACTGCTCAGAAACCAGAGACCACACAGAGGGCGGACTCGATTCCGACATTCCATTACCAGGCTGTCACCTTAGAGCCAATTCCTTGATTGACACGCCTGGCAATGGAACACCTGGAGCTTGGCCAAGCACACCACACCTTCGTAACCCTCTGCTTGAAGAAATGTTTCCTAACCCAACTACACCTTGGACCCTGCTTAAGAACGGAACAGGACAGTCAGAGAGAGTCCAACTCCTCAGCTCCTAAATTACCCCATTGGGTAAAGACACTGTGAGGTACAACACTCACCTCTACAATCATAGGTACAGAGGAAAACAGGAGCATTAAAAGGCCATTCAGCCCATTGAGGCTGTTCCACCAGTATATTACCTTCTGGAAGGTCTTTTAATCCCAAAGCCTTGCCGTTTCACCACACCCAATAACATGTCTGCAACCTAAATCTCTTTAAATGTCTCTATTGATTCAGTCTACACAGCTCCCTGGGGCCGAGCCCACCACACCTTCACAACCCTCTGTGTGAGGAAATGTTTGCTAACCCAACTACTAGCTGAGTTCTGATGTTAAGGTTCTTACGCTTGTAATGATCTCTCAACCAGAGGGAAGAGTCATCCACTGTCTAATCTGTCACTACTGTATTGAACACCTCAATCAAATCACCCCTTAACCTTCTCTGCTCTAAAGAATCTAACTCCAATTATTACTCCACACGCCTCTGTTTACCTGGCAGTAAGTAAGAATCCGGTTCTTAGTTGATTGATGGATCGCTTTCCCGGAATACTTCCTTCAAAAATAAATAAAAATAATAAATAATTTGATCACTGTATCCACGGCTGTTTGTGGGACATTTCTGTGTGCAATTGACTGCAGTGTTTCTCCCTCAAAATGCACAGTCACTCCACTTTACAATATATTCTGTGAAGCATTTTGAGACGTCTCAACGACGTGGTAAGGTGCCATATCAAATGCAAGGATTATTATTGTTATTATTAATTGATGCATTGATTAATTAACTCACACTAACTGGTTAAACTTCAGCAGTTACATCACCCCCCCACCCCATACACACACGCCCTAGGACCTCACCCATGGCTAAGTGGGTGTGGGGGAGAACGTGTTCTATCCAGATAAAGAGGAATTTTCCAGCCCATTCCAACATCTAATTATCTTTTCCAAAGTGTCTCAGCCTCACCCACACTTCCTGGCAATCTCTTCCCGCCGTTAATTACTCCCCGGCTAAAGAAATACTTCATGGTATCTGTCCTAAAATTCCTGGTGTAAAGTATGCCCTCTTGTTCTGCTTGCATTGGATCATTACATCCAACAGTACAGTTCTGGGTTTACTTTCTCAAATCCCAGTTAACATTTTATGCCCCTGTATAAAGGTCCCTCTGAGAGTGACGAGGCCCGCTTTGCCTAATCGTTGCTCATCATAGCTCATTCCTCGAACAATGGGCTCAGCCTCGTTGCTCTCGACTGCATTGCCTGTGTCACAGTGACCGGAACGGTACAGAACTCTATGTGCAACTTGACCAGAGAACAGTTACAAGCCCGAGTGTGATCTATGGGGATGTGAAGTGTGTGAAATCAATCTGCTGTGCATGTGTGTGTATGTGTGTGTGTGAGGCAGAGGACAGAGTGTGAGTGGAACCTGGCAAGGGTGAAGCAGCAAAAAAAAAAGGCCTCTGGATCCACTTGGCTTCAGTGGACTCCTGTAGCTCAGTGGTTAGAGCGCTCGCCTTGCAAGCGAGTGACCTGGTTCGATTCCCGAGCGAACCGAAATCTTAGGCAAGTTTCCTTACTCCGCACACTTCTGTTTACCCAGCAGTAAGTGGGAACTCGGTTGTTAGTTGATTGGTGGATCATTTTTCTAGGAGTAATAATCCCTTAATTTTTTTAAAAAAACGAATAATTTCATTATTCAATCCAAGACTGTTTGTGGGACAGTGCTGTGTGCAGTTGGCTGCCATGTTTTGCCCACAATATACATAATATATTCTGTGAAGGGCTTTGAGATGTCTCAAAGACAAGATAAGGTGCTACATCAATGCACGGATTATTATTCTTATTCTTATAGCTCAGTGAGTCTGACAGAGATTTATAGAGGGCATTGAGAGCGGAGAGAGGAGGAAGGACTTTTTTTGAAGCTCAGTTCAGTCATTTTGTGGCTCAGGGAAGGAAATGCTCCCCAGGCTAGTTCTGAACTTAACTTGACCTTGGAGTTATCAGGTTTGCCTCCATCTCTCTCGCTCTCGCTCTCTCTCTTGTCATTAAAAAGGCTCGTTAAATATAAGAGAGAAAGGGCAACAGCGTGAGGGATCTTGGATTAATAATAAGCCGTGCCGATCGACCACCTTTCATTATTGTGAGGACATCTCAAAGCGCTTCAAGGGACACACTAAAATGTAGTGACTGTGCCTTTCAAGCCCTCCATGGTTTTGCTCTTCCCTCCGTTCTGCAGGCACTGGTCTGCTCCATGTCCCCCGCCCTGCTGCCTTCAGTCTCTCTGCCCCCACCATCTCGAACTCCATCCTAGAGCCCCCCAGCCTCACCCCTCCCTTGCCTACTTCAAGGACTGTCTCAAGAGCTTCCTTTTGAATCGTGCCTTCGGGCATCTTCCCTCCTCTGATCCCTTCTGATCCCTATCCCCAGCACAGGTGCAAACCCCTCATTGTCCAGTGCCTTGTGACGTCCTCCCAATGTGAAAATGCAATTTGTTGTTGTTGTGGACAAGTTTGCCTACAGAACACAGACTTTACACTGAAACCCAGTGAAGCGCTTTCAGACGTCTCAGTAATGTGTTATAGTGCTGTAACAAATGTAAGGATTATCACTATATTATTATTATTATGCATTGTCATGAAGCATATTTCATCCTCATTCCCCCCCATCAAGTTATCAAATAATAATAACCCTTGTATTAGATACAGCACCTTATCATAATAATAATCCTTGCATTTGATATAGCGCTTTTCACGTCTTCTTGACGTCTCAAAGCGCTTCACAGAATAGACTGTAAAGTGAATTGACTGTATATTTGTGGCGAACGCGGCAGCCAATTGCGCACAGCAATGTCCCACAAACAGCGGTGGATTGAAAATGACCAACTTATTATTGTTTTTGGTTTTGGAGGGATTATTATTAGGCTCTGTGTGGAGTAAGGAAACTTGCCCAAGGTTACGCCCTCTGCCTGAAATTGAACCCGGGTGTCTCGCTTGCAAAGCGAGTGCTCAAACCACTGAGCTACAGGACTCCTCCTGTATCATGCCTTTGAGTCATCTCAAAGCACTTCACAGAATACACTGTAAAGTGGATTGACTGTGTATTTTGTGGCCGAAACGTGGCAGCCAATTTTTTTTTATTACAGCCGGAAAGTGATCCGCCGATCAACTAACAACCGGGTTTCTATTTAATGCTGAATAAACAGATGCATGTGGAATAAGGAAACTTACCTAAGGTTTCACCCCGCCCGGGATCCTCTCGCTTGCGAGGCGAGCGCTCTAACCACTGAGCTACAGGACTCAACATAGTCGTGGACCCGAAACGTTGACTCACTTTCCTTTCTCCATAGATGCTGCCTGACCTGCTGAGTGTTCCCGGCAACTTCTGTGATTGTTTTTAGGTTAATGGACTTGGCTACAGACTACAGCAAGGGAAAACTCAACAGCGCAATCATTCCCAGGCGGATTGGCTCCCTAAATAGCCTCCCCCTTCTCCATGTGTGAGCCCAGGCAGGAAATCCCCTCATTAAGATATAGCGATTGCCGCTGTCAGTGATCGGCAGGACCACACAGTCTTTTGGCACACGGTTTGGCTCATTTTATTACAGGATCGCTGGACCGTGGTGGGGTGAGGGGGTGGGGATTGAAGGGGCAGGTGACCGAAAGCACAGACTCGAAGAGGAAGATCTTCAACCGTAACCTTAACCAAGTAAAATAAAATGCCAAAGCTGCCAAACACATAAGGTTTAATATGGGCAGACACCCATCATGCGCTAAAGTGATTCCCTCTCTCTCTCTCTCTCTCTCTCTCTCTGTCCCCCCTCTCTTTCCGTTCCCCCCGCCCCTTCTCTCCTTGCCCTTCTCTCTCTCCCTACCCCCCTCACACCCGTACTCTCTCTATGTCCAACTCTCCCTCGCTCCCTCTCCCATACTCTCTGTGTGTCCCCTCTTTCTCCTTCTCTCTCGGTCTCTGTGTCCCTCTCTCTCTCCTTCACACTGTATTGTCATAGATGCCGTCCTTCGGATGAGACATTAAACTCACCGGTGTCTGTTAAGGACGTTAAAGATCCACAACATGATTGGAAAAAAGTTTAGTGGGACTTTGCTGTGCACAAACTGATTGCAGTGTGTGCTGCTAATACACATAGGTACAGCAAATGCAACTCTTGTCAGTGCATTCAGCAGTTGATGATCTCCCGGCTCCTCACACAACCACAAGTTGTCACAAACAGAAAAATATAATTGTAAAACTTCACATCTCAGGAACAGCACATATTGCTTAAGATGCGAAAATATAGTAAGAACGGACACTTTTCAAATGGAATCTTATTAATAATAATAATCCTTGCATTTGCCATATCAAGTCTTTGAGATGTCTCAAAGCGCTTCACAGAATATATTGTAAAGTGGAGTGATTATGTATTTTGTGACCAAAACTCTAAAGGCACTTCTAAGCCATTGAAATTGGCTACGTTATCTGTGAAAATATACCTTGGGACGTCCTCCCGATGTGAAAGTCCCTATTTAAATGCAATTTGTTGTTACTGAAGCTTTCAGACAGAGGATGGATTTTTTTTTCAATACTCCCATTATGCACTATTCTGAAAGAGAAAGGAGTCTCTCTCTCCCCCGATGAACTGGCCAACAATCCCCCAAATAAAATTGGTCACTCACTCCATGACTGTGGGCATATTGGCTGCTGTGTTTGTTCACAAAATACAGTCACTGAACTTCATAGTAAATTTTGTGAAGCGCTTTGATGATGTGATAAAATGCCGTATCAAATGCAAGGATTATATTATGTGGGAGAATCCATCAATTATAAAAACTAGAGAATTAAAAACCTAAATGGGGTAGAGGAGCAAAGGGATCTAGGGTACACATACACAATTCACTAAAAGTAGCAACGCAGGTTAATAAGGTCATAAAAAAAGAAAAACAGGCATTTCTAGAGGGATAGAAATGAAAAGCAGGGAAGTCATGGTGAACCTTGGTTAGACCACACTTAGAATACTGTGTGCAGTTCTGGTCCCCACATTATAGAAGCGATGTAGAGGCACTGGAGAGGGTGCAGAGGAGATTCACAAGGATGATCCCATAACTGAGAGGTTATGTCTATCAGGAAAGGCTGAATATGCTTGGACTCTTTTCTCTTGAGAAGAGGTGGGTAAGGGGTGACTTGATAGAGGTTTTTAAAATAATGAAAGGTTTTATTGGGTTGACATAGGGAAGATGTTTCCATTTGTGGGGGAGACCAAAACCAGGGGCTATCAATATAAAATAATCACAAATAGATCAAATAAGGAAGTTAAAAGAAATGTCTTCACACAGAGAGTAGTGGGAATGTGGAACGTGCTACCACAAGGAGTTGTTGAGGCAAGTAGCGTAGATGTATTTAAGGGAAAGCTCGATAGGTACATGAGGGAGAAAGGAATAGAAGGTTATGCTTGAAGGCTTAGTTGAGGAAGGGCAGGAGGCTCATGTGGAGCATAAACTCCACCATAGACCAGTTGGGTCGAAGGGCTTGTTTCTGTGCTGTATATTCTAATGTATTCTAATGTAATTCAGCCAGTGTTCTCAATGGCAAGCTAGCTGGTTTTAGCTGGTTAGACTCCAGCAGTCACCCCAACACACACTTTAAGATTCCCAAGCCTTGGCTATATCACCAACAATTTGCATTAAATTCACCCTTTACACAGGATAGTTTCTCGGAGCGCTTGACAGTGGCGGAGTCTGACACCGAGCCAGGGGGAGAGGGTCAGGGAGGTGACCGTAAGCACAATCAAAAATGAGGGTATTTTGGTGAGATTTGTAAGTGGGGAGGGAGGGAGCGGGCAGGGCAGAGGGGTTGAAAGGAGAGAGTTGCTCACTAAACTGTGCCTGCCTAATACTCTCCAGAATTAAGTAAGCGGCGGGTTGGGGGGACATCCCCCTGGGGAGAGAGCACTTCCCATTCCAGATACAGGGACATTTCCAATGTATTTGGCAGCCAAACACAAACTTACATTTCACACCTGGTGGAACTTAACTGGTTTGGACACTCTTAAGCATGGTGATAGGCTTCAGCATATGTCAGATATTCGGCTGACCAAATAAAGCCTATTTCTCTCCCCCACCCGTCCACCACCACACACACACACACAGAATCCTGCCTAACCCAAAGAGGGCTGAGAGTCAGGTTGATACCCATCCTGGCCAAACAACATGTAGAGACATAGTGAAGTTGGTTCATCGGTTTTAGATATTGTGCATCAAATTTAACACTGCAGTAAACCCTTCACAAACTTACCCACCCTCCTCCACGGACACCTTTAGGACCTTGGGCACCCTAACTATCCCAGCCACTCAACTTCCCATAATAATAATAATAATGCTTTGATATAGCGCTTTATTACATCTTCGAGACGTCTCAAAGCGTTTCACAGAATATACTGTAAAGTGAATTGACTGTATATTTTGTGGGCAAAACATACAGCCAATTGCGCACAGCAGTGTCCCACAAGCAGTCGTGGATTGAATGACCAAATTATTGTTATAATTTGTTATTATTATTATTATCCCCAGAAAGATATCCACCAATCAACTAAGAACCAGATTCCTACTTGCTGCTGGGTAAACAGAGGTGTGTGGAGTAAGGAAACTTGCCTGAGGTTTTGTCCTGCCCAGGAATTGAACATGTGTCCTCTCACTTGTGAGACGAGTGCTCTAACCATTACGCTGCAGGATTCTACATCCCCCGCTCGACCCTCCACAGCATACTAACATTGCACTCCTGCTCTCAGGTACTCCATTGCATCAGACTCCATCTTTCTGCCTCCCACACACACATAGACAAAGGTCACCTGAAGACTTAATCTTTGCCAGTTCAAACTAACAACTATATCAACTAATACCCCACTTCTCACCTCTTCAGCTTCCTTCCCCAGGCTCGGTCGAGACACTATGAAATGTCCTCCAGAAGTGAAGGGCTTTATACAAATGCAAATCGTACCATGGTCGTAACAAGAGAGAGAGGACTTTTAAGTCATCATTGGGCGGTTGGTCCAAGTGTGGAGCGATAGAGAGAACTGGCAGCGATAAGATAAGCACAGAGAGGCTACAAGAGGGAGATGGGAGGTAGGAGATTGAGAGAGACAGAACGAGAGAGAGAGAGAGAGAGAAAGAGAAAGAAAGGCACCATGAAAAATAAACATAGATACAAGGGACACAAAAGACAAAGAGAGAATTATATAAGAATGTAATGAATAGCCCCTGCGTCAAAGTTGGTCACGATGGAACTTTTAATTCCTTCTCAAACCCCCCGCCCCACCCCCCCAACCCCACACACCCCAGACAAAGACACTCACACACACATTCTCTCGCTCTCTGTAAGTGCTGAGTCACACTGACTCCGAGCTTTGCTTACTCCACCCACCTGCCTCGGTTTGTATCTTATCAGCTTGGTCCGGTTGGGTTGCTGTGAGCAGGGATACTAATTACACATCTCGGACAAAATTGCCGCCCTAATTTTTTAAAGAATTAGCTGCTGTGATAATTAGTGGATATTAATTCAATAAAAGTAATAACCCTTGCGTTTATGTCTGACACACACGGAAACCCATCACCGTTGCTTAACAGTCTCCAGACCAAACTGAGATTTCCGTGCATCCCCCCTACACCTGGAAATCCCAGAGATAGATCGTTGGAATGGAATGCGCTCTCTCTCCCTGGAGGGATGCATCCTGCTTACTGAATTCCGGGGAGTATTAGGCGCAGGTTGGCAAGAGCCAAGGCTTGGGGTAACTGCTGGAGTCACTGTGTGAACTGCAGACAGATATAATAATAGCTGATTAAACCAACTTGGTGGACAGAGAGTTGATTGCTTTCAAAGGCCAATCGGCAACATTTCCTGAGCCAAAAGTACTCCCCAAGTGGAGCGGTTTCCAGGCCGCCATTGTCTTAAATACAATAATATTAATTAATTGTCCATTTGACCAGTGCCTATAACATTGAATTGCTTCAAAGCACTTCAGAGGGAATCTAGTGACTATGTCTTTTGTGGGTGCTCAGCAGACAATTTGCACACAGTGACAATGTGAACGAGTGATTTAACTGGAGGACTGTTGGGCAGTCAATGCATTTTATAGTGAGTTCCTGTGAAGCGCTTTGAGACGTCCTCCCAATGTGAAAGCTCCTGCATCAAATACAAGGATTATTATGGTCAGTTTACAAATAATAACAATAATCCTTAAATTTGATATAGCGTCTTCCAGACGTCTCAAAGCGCTTCACAGAATAAACTGTAAAGTGAATTGACTGTAAATTTGTGGGCGAAACGCGGCAGCCAATTGTACACAGCAGCGTCCCACAAACAGTCGTGGATTGAAATGACCAATTTATTATTGTTTTTTTTTCTTGAGGGATTATTATCAGGCATGTGGAATAGGAAATTTGCTCAAGGTTTCACCCTGCACTTAATCCTGATGGGTTAGTTGAATAACCTAATAATATAATATACTCCTCCTATTTGGTAACCTTTATGCTTCTTGCCTTGATTACAAAAGCCGTACAATTTAGAAGGGATAGTTTTATATGGTGGAAAATATCCTGATATCCGCAGGTATTAAAAGGACTGTGTTCTTTGTAATTTCCTATTGTATCAATCTGGACATCATTTAGTATGTGGAGAATTCTAGAATGAAGAAGGGACATTCTTAGTTTTAAGGGAAATTTATATTTTTATTCTAATTTTTATGTGTAGAAACTAATGCAAAAAACTTTGTTTTTAAAATGAAAGTTGTAATGGTTTCACAAACCATACCTTAAATAAATAAAAATAATAATAAAAATAAATAAATACCTTAAAGTGCTTTCATATCTTTCGACAGTAACAATTTATAAAACGCCTTTCACGTAGGGTTAATATCTCGAAGAGCTTCGCAGGACGGCTGATTATGAAGAATTAATTATCTCTGGTGTGAGCCCTGCCCCTGTGCTGACGTACAACCCACAGACAGTCAGTCGCTGTCCATGCAACCACCAGCTACCAGGCAACTGTAACAACCCCCCAGGGCCGGTAAACACCACTAAACATCAAGTCCTGGATGAGAGCTAACTTTCTTCAGTTGAACATCAAAAAAACCGAAGTTCTCCCGACTGGTTCCTGTCAGCGCCTCCTCACCTCAGGCATTGACAGCACCATCCATACTTGCACACTCCACCTTGCTAAGCCAGTCCAGGACCTTGGCGTCTTGTTTAACCCTCAAGTATCCTTTCTACCCCACATCCCTTCGCCAACCTCTGCAACATCGCTCGGCTCCACCACTGTATCACACCACAGGCCACCGAAGCCTTCATACACGCCTTCATTACATCCAGGTTTGACTATGCAACCTCCTTGCTTATCAGCCTCCCCAACTCATCCAGAACTCTGCATCCTCTTCCGCACCAGGCTCCGTGTAACCCTATTACCCCCATCCTCGCCCGACTCCACTGGCTTCCCATCACACAGAGGATACAGTTCAAGATCCTGCTCCTCACCTTCAAAGCCCTCCATGTCCTTGCTCCTTGCTCCCCCCTACCATCCTGCCTGCTCCCTCAGCTCAGCGGGCTCCAGTCTACTTCATGTCCCCCAATTCACCTACTCCACCATAGGTGGATGGACCTTCAGCTACTCTGCCCCCATCCTCTGGAACTCCATCCCGCAGTCCCTCCGCCTCATGCGCTCTCTTGCCTCCTTCAAGATCCATCTCAAGATCCTCCTCTTTGACCATGTTTTCAATCACCCTCCTTCCCCCCGGGTCCTCCACCCTACCCAATCCTGACCCCCCAGCCTGGTCCGAAACATTGACTGTCGAGCACCTTGAGACGTGATCCCAACATGAAAGGAGCTCCATCAAATGTAAGGATTATTATTGAGAACTCTGCCCGGCAAGCTTTCCCGCTGCTTGTCCAGCTAGGACCATCCTTACAACAACAGCAACGACTTGCATTTATAAAGCACCCCTCATACACGGTAGTGTCACAGAGCACTGGGAAACCCTACCCATTAGGGCTTTGGCTGCAGGGTTAACAGGAGCTAAGGGGGAGGATTCCCTGCCTCTGGTGACTGGGTCGGCCCTTTCAACCTGCCCACTCCCTCCGTTCATCAGGCTCCGGCCTACTCCATGTCTCCCGCCCGACCCGCCCTACCATCGGTGGCCGGGCTTTCAACCTCTCTACCTCCACACTCTGAAACTCCATCCCACGGTCCCTTCGCCTCACTTCCTCCCTCATCTCCTTCAAGGCCGGTCTCAAGACGCTTCTGTTTGACCGTGCCTTTGGTCTCCCTCCCACCTCTCTGCCTTCCCCCACCCTCCCTCCCCCATGCTCGGGCCCCGACACCTGACTGTTCAGCGCTTTGGGACGGCGCTCTATAAATGTAATTTTGTTGTTGTTGTTGTTCCAGGTCCTGCTGATGAGCGAGGCTGGGCTGTGCTGTCATCAGCAATGAGTGCCCTGAGATATTGCAGACCCTCCTGGCTCAGGAACCAGAGATCGTGTATATTGTAAAGTGGACTGTGCATTGTGTGGGCGAAACGTGGCAGCATTTTGGAAGAGATTATTCCCTTCCTAAAGGTAATTATCTGCCAATCGATTAACTGTTCCTAGTTCCTAGTTCCTAGTTTGCTCGGTGATCAGAGGGGTGTGTGTATATGTGGATTTAGAAAATTTGTCTAAGGTTTCATCCCGCCCGGGAATCGAATCCGGGTCCTCACAATTGTGAGGCAGAGTGACTATTAGATTATTAATATTAGACTATCGCACCAAACCCCATCTCCCCCACTCTCGCCCGACTCCATTGGCTCCCTATCCTTCAGAGGATCCAGTTCAAGATCCTGGTCCTCACCTACAAAGCCCTCCATGGCCTCGCCCCACCCTACCTCTGCAACCTCCTAAGACCTACCAAACCGCCCGCTCCCTCCGCTCAGCCGGCTCTGGCCCTTGATCCACCCGCCCCACCATTGGCGGGAGAGCCTTCAGCCACTCTGCCCCCAACCTCTGGAATTCCATCCCCCAATCACTCCGCCTCACACCCTCCTTAGCCTCCTTCAAGTCCCGCTTCAAAACCCTCCTCTTCCACCAATCCATCAGCCCCCACCCTTTCCCCTCCCCTCCCTTCCCCCCACCACCACCGACCCCAGCTCGGAACTGAAATGCTGTACTCTGTCCAGCGCCTTGGGATGTCCTCCCGACATGAAAGGCGCTATACAAATGTAACTTGTTGTTGTTGGTGGTTAGAGAAGCCTGAGATTGAAGGATTCCTGGATTGTGCTGGATCACAATAAACTCCCACCTGAAGCTCCCATTAAATCCTGGCTTTATTATAGTATTTTGGTGAGAAGGAGCAGTGATGGCTGAGAGCAGACCAGCACTGCAGGGCAGTGTGGCAGTGTCCTCCGATGGCCTTCACCGTTACTGCACCTTCACAACATGTTGCCCATTTTTCTGTTTGTTTGAGTGAAAGGAAAAGGATCTTTCACTTTTATAGCGTCCGATCACAGGCAGGCAGCTCAGTGACTCATGTGTATGACTGCGTATTTTGCAGGTGAATGAGGCAGCATTTTGGTCCACAGCAAAGTCCCACACGAATGATTTATCTAGGGGATTGTCGGACGGGATACAGGGAGAGAGAGAGAAAGCTCTTCTCATCTCTCCAATATGTTTCTTTCAATGAAAGACACCACATGAGCGAATCGACAGAATGAGATAAGCAGAATATGGAGGTAAATCGAACAATTAATCTACAACAACAACAACTTGCATTTATATAGCGCCCGCCACACAGGGCAGCGTCTCAGAGTGCTTAACAGTGCGGAGCCTGACTCCAAGACGAAGAGGGGAGGGGGAAGATGGCCGTAAGGTCAAAAAGGAAGGTTTTGGGCGGGACTTGAAAGAGGGGAGAGAGGGGGCAAGGCGGAGGGATTGAGGGAGAGTGTTCCAGAGTTTTGGGGCGTAGAGGCTGAAAGCGCGACCTCCAATGGTGGGGCGGAGAGTGCGAGGGACGAGCAGGAGCCGGGGCCAGTCGAACGGCGTTGCTGACCGGGTGGTGGATTGGGGAGTGAGGAAGTCAGAGAGGGAGGGAGGTGCCAGAGAGTGAAGGGATTTGAACACGAGTGAGAGGATCTCGAAGTGGATCCGTTTGGTGATGGGGAGCCAGTGGAGCCTGGGCCAGAGCTGGGGAGATGTGGGGACGGAGTTTGGTTGGGGTCAGTATGTGGGCGGCAGAGTCTGAATGAGCTAATCTTGTGAATGGTGGAGCTGGGGAGACCGGCGAAGAGAGGGTTGCAGTAATCCAGGCGGGAGGTGACAAACACATACACGAGGGTTTCGGCTGCATTTGTGGGAAGGTACCTTCGGAGGTGGGTAATGAGGCAGAGGTAGAGGAAGGCAGGGACTGGATGTGGGGAGGAAGGACAGCTGGGGGTCGAACTGGATGCCTAGATTGAGCAATAGCTCAGTGAGTGTGAGGCAGAGCCCAGGGAGGTTGAGGAGTTTAGATCTGCAGGAGTGAAGACATTGACTGGAACCAAGGAGTATGGCTTCCATCTTGTCCATGTTCAGCTGCAGGAAGTTTACACTCATCCAGGCCCTGATGTCTGCCATGGGCCCTAACCTTGAGTAACAGCCTTTTATGTGGCATCTTGTCGAATGCCTTCTAAAAATTTAAATATACTACATCTACTGGATCCCCCCTATCTAACCTGCTAGTTACATCCTAAAAAAACTCTAAAACATTTGTAAAACCATGTTGACTCTGCCTAATCGTGTTATGTTCCTCTAAGTTCTCCACTACCCTAATCAAGGAGTCTAGAATTTTCCTACCACCAATGCCAGACTGACTGGTCTATAGCTCCCCATCTTCTCTCTCCCAACCTTCTTAAATGGTGTTACGTTTGCGATTTTTCCAATCAATGGAAACCATTCCAGAATCCAGAGAATTTTGGAAGATCAAAAACAAGGCATCGACTATCTCAGCCGCCACCTCTTTTAAAACCCTCTGGATGCAGACCATCAGGTCCAGGGGATTTGTCATTTTTCAATCCCAACAGTTTCTCTCGTACTAATTCTTTACTGATGTTATTTCCCTAAGTTGCTCAGTAACATTAGCTTCTTGGTTCCCCTCTATATTTGATAAGTTTTCAGTGTCTTCTAACGTGAAGACAGAAGCAAAGTATTTGTTTAATGACTCTGCCATATCTTTATCCCCCATTATAATTCTTCCTGTCTCTGCCTGTAATGGACCCACATTCACTTTTGTTATTCTCTTCCTCTTTATGTATTTGTAAAGACTCTTGCAGTCTGTCTTTATGTTCCTGGTTAGTTTGCCCTCATAATCCATTTTCCTCCTCCTAATCAGTTTCTCAGTCTTTCTTTCTTGGTCTCTGAAGCCCTCCCAATACTCAGGTTTACTGCTCTTTTTGGCAGTATTATAAGTCTTCGTTGGCTTCATTCCTCCGGGTCTGGAATCCTCCTCGTCCCCCGAGTCCTCCGCTCCCCCCTCGGTGGCCGTGCCTTCAGCCACTGTGCCCCGAGGCTCTGGACCTGCCTTCCTCACTCCCTTCGTCTCGTTCCCTCCCTTCCCATTTTGAGGTCTCTGCTGAAGACCTTACTTTTCGACCGCACCTTTGGTCACCTTCCCCCCCTCCCCCTTCTCCTCCCCCGGGCTCCTCCCCCTCCCCCAAGCTCCTCCCCTCCCCGGCTCCTCCCATTCCCCCTGGCTACTCCCCTAGCCCCTCCCCTAGCCCCTCCCACCAGCTCCTCCCCTGGCTCCTCCCCACCCCCTGGCTCCTCCCCTCACCTGGCTCCTTCCCTCCCCTGGCTCCTCCCCTCCCCCGGCTCCTCCCCTCCCCCGGCTCCTCCCCTCCCCCGGCTCCTCCCCTCCCCGGCTCGCCCCTCCCCCAGCTCATCTCCCCTCCCCTGGTTCCTCCCCCTTCCCCTGGCTCCTCCCCTGGCTCCCCCCCACTCCCCTGGCTCCTCCCCCTCCCCTGGCTTCCCCCTCCCCCGGCTCCCCCCCTCCCCCCTGGCTCGGTCCCGGGACCCATTACCGTGAAGTGCTCTGAGACGCCGTCCGGCGCGGAGGGCACTACATAAACCCAAGTTGTTGTTGTCTCTTTTCATTTTGTACTTTCCCTGACTGCTCCAGTTGAACCATTATCCCTTGGCATTTTTATTCCTCAAGGGACGAATTATTACACTCAGAGGAGATTGTGCTGTGAAGTGCTGTGACATGAGGTTCCAATGCAATAGGACAAGTTGCTCCCTGGCTAACTCCTTGACTCACTCTTTAAGCGAAAATTTATTCTCCAAACAAACAGGAAGTGAAAGCTGTTAAAGTTGCTCTTAGTCTGGTTTGTCTGAGATTTAGTCTAAAGATTTAAAGAGGCACTGATTGCTCTTAAAGTGGCCTTATCAGTTCTTGCAGTGAAAACAGTCCCTTCCCTCTGTCAGCGTGTTTCACCGCTTCATCCCCAAATATTCATAACACGACCGAGCAAAAGAAAGCTGGGAAAAAGAAAAACAAACAGCGAGTGGTTTGAACAAGCTGCGATTCATGACTTCATCACAGTCGTCCTGACAGGCAAATTTCTCTTGTGCTTGTTTATGCCATTCTCTTTCGTTTTGGTCAACATTGGAAACCCATCACCATGCTCCAGAGTCTCCAAACCTGACTGAGAGTTCCACGTGTATGTCACCGACACGCGGATATCTCTGTGTCTGGAATGGAACGCACACACTCTCCCCAGAGGGTCACACCCCGCTTACTGAATTCTGGAGAGCGCTAGGCAAACACTGGCAAGAACTTAGGCTTGGGAGGGACCCCAGAGTGTGCGTTGGGGTAATTTCTATAGTTTAACGAGATGAAACCTCACAGCTTGAGAGCGCTAAGTGGCAACTTCCTGCTGCTTGTGCCACAATTTCCCCCTACAATTCCCACATTTTAAGACTTGCTGTCAAGTGTAGTGACTGTGCGTTTGTGGGCAAATGTCGTTTGGAGCGACCCTCCAGGGAGAGAGTGCATGCTCCAAACAAGAACACAAGCCTGATCATGGTGATGGGTTTCTTTGTGTGTCAGACACCCGGCTGATCACGATGATTGATTTCTGTGTGTGTCAGACACCCGGCTAATCACGGTGATGGGTATCAGAAGTGTCAGACATCAACTGTCAAATAAACAATAATAATAATAATAATAATCCTTGCATTTGATATAGCGCTTTTCACATCTTTGCGACGTCTCAAAGCGCTTCACAGAATAGACTGTAAAATGAATTGACCGTATATTTGTGGGCGAAACGCAGCAGCCAATTGCGCACAGCAGGGCACAATCACAGAAAGCATTCAAAGAGCCATGAGGTGATTAATCCCCCATTAATCTGGGGGATTGTTGGCCAGGACACTCGGAGAGAGAAACCTCCTTCTAATTACTAATTGTACCTTTAAGTAGCAGAGAAGCCTCATTTTAAAGGGATCAAGCAGAAGGTAAAGATGTGCATCACCCACAAGGAAATGTTAGGCAACCTCTTCTCTGTCATTATGACAAGTACACAAAGGCTAACCATGTGTTCTTCTCAGCTTTGCTGCTGTAGGAGCCAATACTACATAAGAAAAATGCAGTGTTGGTTTGATGCTGCGATTTGAATATTCTTTATAATAATAATCCTTACATTTGATATAGCAGCTTATTGCATTTTAAAGACGACTTAAAGCGCTTCACAGAATATATTGTAAAGTGAATTGACCGTATATTTTGTGGACGAAACATGGCAGCCAACTGCACCCCGCAGCGACCCGCAAACAGTCGTGGATTGAACGGCCAAATATTATAATTTTTTTGAGGGATTATTACCCCTGAAAAAGTGATCCGCCAATCGACTAACAACCGGGTTCCTACTCACTGCTGGGTGAAGAGAGGCGTATGGAGCAAGGAAACCTGCCCAGTATTTCACTGTGTCTGGGAATCAAACCCAGGTCCTCTCGCTTGCGAGGCGAGCGCTCTAACCACTGAGTTACAGGACTCAACTTACAGGTTATAGGTTTTTAGTGCAGTAGGGAGGGTACACTTTTGTTTTTAACTCTTTACCTGAACACAAATCACAGGACACTTATTGTAATAGTGTTTCCTTCCGCCTGGAGTCCCTCTGCACATGTTCAAAAGCTTGGCCTAAAAAATTCACATTCACTGCACTTTACGATATAGCCGGTGAAACACTGGGAGACGTCCTCCCGATATGAAAGTTGCTACATCAAATGTAAGGATTATTATTTACTGTACGGATTATAAAGTGATCCTATGGAGCCCTCTTAACCTGGTGACTAGGGTCGGAAAAGAAACAGAGGGACTAAGAGAGAGAGAGAGACAGAGAGAGGAGGCCTGGATGGTAAACACGGTTCAACGTTACACAATATATCAAGGTGACAAGAAGAGGAAGGGAGGCGAGGCAAGGAGAGGTAAGGAGAGGACCAGTGATGGGGACAGGGAAACAGATTAGTTTCAAATGAGGAAAGATTTATTGCAGAGAGAGATATTAACCAGGACTGTCGGCTGTCTTCAAGAAAAAGGAGCAAACTGAGCGTGGGATTCAGTCTGTAATGACATGCTTGAGATCTTCCAGGCGGGCTGAGGTCCGAGGGTGTGGGGTGGGGAGTGGGGCGTGGGGGGAGGGGTGGCGGAGGGCGGAGTGAGGCAATCTTCCCTGACACGCGCTTCATCACTGCCACTGAGGCTTAACACAGAGCAACAGGAACATCAGTGGAGTCCTGTAGCTCAGTGGTTAGAGCACTCGCTTTGCAAGCGAGAGACCTGAGTTCAATTCCAGGCAGAGGGCGAAACCTTGGGGAAGTTTCCTTACTCCACACAGAGCCTAATAATAGTCCCTCCAAAACCAAAAACAATAATAAATTGGTCATTTTCAATCCACGACTGTTTGTGGGACATTGCTGTGCGCAATTGGCTGCCGCGTTCGCCCACAAATATACAGTCAATTCACTTTACAGTGTGTTCTGTGAAGCGTTTTGGGACGTCCTCCCGACGTGAAAAGCGCTATATCAAATGCAAGGATTATTATTATTATTATTATCAGGCAGAACAGGCGCTGACTGAAGCTCAGTCTCAGTAATAATAATCGTTGCATTTGATGTAGCGTTTTTTATCACATCGTCAGGATGAGTTTTAAAGGAGACCCGCAGAGCAGTGACTGTGTTTCGTTTGTGGGTCGAAGTGCGATTTAGTTTGCCACAGAGCGAGGTCCCAGAAGCAGCCATGGAGCGAGGGACCCATTTTATTTGGGGGATAGTTGGACCCGGAGGGGGGGTGGGAGAGAGAGAGAGAGAGAGAGACTCCCTTCTCTCTGAACAGCGAAGCGGGATCTTTAATGCTCAGCACTGTGCTGGAGGTTAGACACGGCATCTCCCACAATAACCCCCCCCAGCGCTGCACTGGAGGGCGGCTCAGGCTGGGTGACCCCCCCCAGCGCTGCACTGGAGGGCGGCTCAGGCTGGGTGACCCCCCCCAGTGCTGCACTGGAGGGCGGCTCAGGCTGGGTGACCCCCCCAGCGCTGCACTGAGGGCCCTCAGGCTCGGGTGACCCCCCCCAGCGCTGCACTGGAGGGCGGCTCAGGCTGGGTGACCCCCCGGCGGCTCGGGTGACCCCCGGGCGGCTCGGGTGACCCCCCGGGCGGCTCGGGTGACCCCCCCCAGCGCTGCACTGGAGGGCGGCTCAGGCTGGGTGACACCCCCCAGAGCAGCTCAGGTGACCCCACCCAGAGCTGCTCGGGTGACCCCCCCGGGCGGCTCGGGTGACCCCCCCGGGCGGCTCGGGTGACCCCCGGGCGGCTCGGGGACCCCCCGGGCGGCTCGGGGACCCCCCGGGCGGCTCGGGTGACCCCCCGGGCGGCTCGGGTGACCCCCGGGCGGCTCGGGTGACCCCCGGGCGGCTCGGGTGACCCCCCGGGCGGCTCGGGTGACCCCCCGGGCGGCTCGGGTGACCCCCCGGGCGGCTCCGGTGACCCCCCGGGCGGCAGTGTCCGGCGGCTGTTGAACCACAAACTTGTGACCTGAGTGGCTTTCACTCCCCTGACAACCATCCCATAATAAGCAATCCGCCCCGCCCCTTAGTAACCATCCCATAATACCCTCCCGCCCTCTGGCCAGCCCCTAACAACCATCCCATATACCCCATCCAGTCCTAACAACCATCCCATAATACCCTTCCAGGCCCTAGCAACCATCCCATAATACCCGCCAGGCCCTAACAACCATCCCACAATGCCCCGCCGGGAGGCGGGCGGCGGCGGCGGGTGAGTGGTGTGTGTTGATGGCGAAGGCCCGGGGAGCGGCCCGGAGCCTCCCGCCGCCGCGCTCCCCGGGGCGGCGCTCACAGTGCGCTGGTGGGGGGGGGGAGAAGCCCCACAATGTCAGAGGCGCAGACCATAACCCGCGCCCCCCGCTGGGGCCTGTCAGGCCGATGTGACCCCTGGCCTCTGGCCGGGCTCGAGACGAGGAGAAGTCCCCCCCCTCTCCCCCCCCCCCCCCGGGGCCAGAGACCTGGAGTAACATCGGCCTGACACTGACCGGCTGACAATGACCCCCCCATTTGCTCCCCGGCTGCTTGCGGAGACGTTGCCGAGCACACAGTCACTACACTTGACCGTGAAGCGCTTTCGGACCTTCCTCCTGGCGTGAGGGCGCCAAGTCAAATGCGGGGATTGATGATGATGATGGTGGTGATGATGATGACGTTCCCGCGCCGGGCGACACCGCTCCGCACGCCTCTGCTTACCCAGCAGTCAGGAGCAACCTGGTTGTTAGTCGGTTGGTGGGTCACTGTCCGGGGGGAGGAGGGGGTGATAATCCCTCCAGAAAAATGCACTCAATCCGCGGCTGTTTGTGGGACCCGCCGTTTCACCCACAACATACACAGTCACTCCACTCTACAGTGAAGCGCTTGGAGACGTCTCACCGATGTGATAAAGCGCTATATCAAACACAAGGATTATTATTATTACATTTTGAATCACTCTTATAGAGGTGGTTTCTGAATGGTTTTCAGTGATGGGCAGTCAGACCAATAATAATAATAATAATAATAATAATCCTTGCATTTGATATAGCGCTTTTCACGTCGGGAGAACGTCCCAAAGCGCTTCACAGAACACACTGTAAAGTGAATCGACTGTATATTTGTGGGCGAACGCGGCAGCCAATTGCGCACAGCAATGTCCCACAAACAGTCGTAGATTGAAAATGACCAATTTATTATTGTTTTTGGTTTGGAGGGATTATTATTAGGCTCTGTGTGGAGTAAGGAAACTTGCCCAAGGTTTCGCCCTCTGCCTGGAATTAAATTCAGGTCTCTCACTTGCAAAGCGAGTGCTCTAACCACTGAGCTACAGGACTCCACATACCACTGCCACGTTACATATGTTACTTTTAATATATTTGAGCTACTTTTCAAACAGGAGGTTGATATTTTGTTCACAGGGTATTTTGTCAAACCATTTCCAAATAGCTTTATTAACAGTCCCAGTTGCACTGATGACTGTGGGAACTGTGTTTGTTCTATACTGCCATGTACGTCCCTGTTCAATTTGTGGATCAATATGTTTCCTGATCATCTCTAGTTCCTTACTTCTTACATTGTAATCACTTGGGATTGCCCATGAATAATACTACATGTACAACCTATTTGGTTCTTTGATGCTATCCAGTTTGTTACAGATTGCTGATCCATCTGTATGTATTTGTGAGTCCCAGATTATTGTTGTTATTATAATTGGAGCTGTTTGGGAGGAATAAATGCAGGGTCTCTTCAGACTGTGTCAAAACTTCCTTCTTTGACTTTCGCTCATCCCCCCCCCCCACCTCAACTCGCCTTCACCTCTTCACCTGCCCGCCCTGGGTGTCCACCAAAGCATTGTAAAAAGTTAGGAAACATCCTTCTGATGTGAAAGGTGCTGTATGTGTGTAAATTATATTGTAAAGGGGTGGGGGGAGAGAGAGAGAGAGAAGGCAGGTTAGTTAATGATTGACATCACAGAGTTATTACAGTGGACGATATATCGCCTGGGAACTTTCTGTGTGTGTGTACATGTTTGTATCTGTGCGGACATTTGTGTGCGTGAAGTGTGAGGTGTGAGTTTTCTGGCCGCTTATTTTCCTGCGGATGCAATAATATTTACCGCCTCCAGCTAAGCAATGCCTGCCTCTGCTCCTTATTTCAGCCACTATCAGGGAACCTTTGAACTTTGAGCAGCCAATGGAGAGGGCTCACTCTCTTGCTTCTGCCTGTGAGCTTGAGACAATGAGGTGACAGTCGCTGGCAGGGAGTCAAGCAGAGACTGTGCAGTCAAGCTGCTCGCCTTCCCACAGGCTGTGGCTCTGCCATATGGCTAGGTAAGTGGTGCACTTGGTTCAGCAAGGCTTTTTGGGGGAGTGGGGAGGCGTGGGAGCAGCGCTGTGTTGTCAGATGAGATGTCCTTTGGATTAAACCTTCCGTGCCCACTTAGGCACACATTAAAGGTCCCGCCATGCTGTTGGAAAAGAAAAGGGAGTTTCTCCCCCTGTTCCCTGGCTGACCATCGTCTCAGAAACAATTGGCCACTCACTTCATAATAATAATAATAATAATAATCCTTGCATTTGATATAGCGCTTTTCACGTCGGGAAGACGTCCCAAAGCGCTTCACAGAACACACTGTAAAGTGAATTGACTGTATATTTGTGGGCGAAGGCGGCAGCCAATTGCGCACAGCAATGTCCCACAAACAGTCATGGATTGAAAATGACCAATTTCTTATTGTTTTTGGTTTTTTGGAGGGATTATTAGGCTCTGTGTGGAGTAAGGAAACTTGCCCAAGGTTTCGCCCTCTGCCTGGACTTGAACTCAGGTCTCTCGCTTGCAAAGCGAGTGCTCTAACCACTGAGTTACAGGACTTCATGGCCTGACACTGACCTTGCTGGTGGCTGGCGCTATCTCTTTCACCGTAATGGCCCACATACAGCCTGGCAGATACAGAGTAAAGAGCTTTGAGATGGACGGATGGATTAGGCCACCCTGACTGCTGAGTGGGGGGGGGGGCACACTAGAGCGCCCAGCGCCCGGTACTACTCGGTCTCCCTTCCTCTGTAGGAACCCCACGCACCAGCTGGCTCAAGAAGGGGGAAGTTTCGCCCACAAAATACAGTCAATTCACTTTACAGTATATCCTTTGAGGCATCTGAATGATGGTTTAAGGCGCTGTATCAAATGCAAGGATTGTTGTTAAGTAGATTAGATTACGAAAAGCCCGCACTCAGGCCACACTAATTGTTGATGGCCACACACTGAAGCTGCCAGAACAATCAGTTTGAGAACTACTGGCACAGGCGCTGAATCCAATGGAAGGCTGAACGATGCCTGAACCTTTCCCCTTCTCCTCCCATAGGTTTTGTTTGTTCCCCGCTTCGTGGCACTTCAGTGTGTCTCCCGTGAACAGCTCCGCTAGGCAGAGGGCTGGGCTCACAGCTGCCGTCCTCGCACTGTGTCTGCTGCTCACCTTCGTCTTCACAAGATTTTACCATTGGAGGCCGCTGCCTGTCAACAAAGGACTGGAAAGGTCAGTATGGCCAGAGATGAAGATGCCTACCCCAAAACCCAAGTGGTAGGGGGGCACTGTATTGTCGAAGGTGCCGTCCTTTGCATGAAACGTTAAACTGAGGTCCATGTTTAGGTCCCTGTGCTCTGTTTAAGTGGATGTTAAAGATCCCATGGCACTGTTCAGAAGCAGAAGGGGGTTTCTCTCTCCCAGTGTCCTGGCCAACAATCCCCAAATAGAATTGGTCACTCCATGGCAGTTTGTGGATCGATGGTAAATTAGCTACCTCTTTTGCCTTTAAATAAACAGTCACTACACTTCACAATGAAATCTTGTGAAGTGCTTTGAGACACCCTCCTGATATGAAAGGCAATGAATGAAACCAAAGGGTTATTATTGAGGATTATTTGCAGATATGATGTAGCTAGCGAATAACTGCAAGTCAGCAGGGCCAGTTTATCCGTGTATTTAGCAAAGAACACTTTTTCTTTTGCTGTCATCCTTATCCTAATTCATTAACACCCCACTCTTTATTTTTCCCCTACCCTTTCCCCTTATTCCTTTTAAAATCCAAGTCCGGAAACCGGATAACTGGATTGATTATTGCGGTGACTTTTGCTGATGCAGCCCACCTTTAAGTATTCAGTGATGGGTTAAGCACTTTGCATCCAGGCTGGACTGCAGCCCTCTTGTGTGTTAATTGCACAATTTGCTGGAGGCCGCACGGGTCAAACCTTCCATCTCTGCACACTTAACCTGATTTGCCTGGTATTGGTGGAACCTCAGTGAGGGAGGGGTGTAGAATTTCACACTGCACCATGGTCGGGTGGGGGTGAGGGAGAAGTGTGGTTACCTGCTGACAGCAGCAAATTGTGCTGGCTCAACACCCTCGTCTGCAAAAAAAAACTCTCCTCCTCTTCCCCCCACCCAGGGCGTTCGATTGCTATAATTCTTAAGGGACCAATCGGAAGGCAATTCTTGCAGTCTTCAGCCTCTCCAGAGCACTGGCTAATTGAAGAGACATCGCGTCTATAATCCCTGACACAACAACTTGGAAGTGCGAGATTGGGTTTAGAAGTAATTTGATCTGGTAATTGAGCAATTTGGCACCACGGGGAAGGGGAGTGGGGGGAAATCAGCCCCCACCTCTGACACCACTTACCATGGCGAGGGCGAAAACCCCCTCCGAGTGTTAAATGTATTACGCTATAAGCAATATTCAATATCAGTTTTCTTCTAGTTAATACAAGCCCTTCAGAGGGTGTTACGCTGATGGAGTCTTAATAGCACTCTCCTGTTACTTATTACTTGATCGGGAAATTTCCACGTGTCAGAATGCTCCTCCGAGGAGCTTGCTGTAAGTACAATGCTTCGTTTCACAGGAGTTCAAAGTCAGTCTGGGCTTAACACAATGGCTCCAGGCCTCCGGTTGTGACTTTGAACTGAGTGAGCCATTCCTAACGTGTTACCTACCAGAATCCACCTTTCTTTCACCAGGTTAACTTTATGATTTCTATGAAATCATAGAATTCAGTCTTGTGGAGCAACCACTATAGCATAGTGCACTCGCCTCTCAAGCGAGGGGACCTAGGTACCATTCCCGGATGGGGCAAAACCTTAGGCAAGTTTCCTTACATCAACACGCAGTTGACCAAAAAAAATAATAAGGGGCTGCATCAAATGCAAGGATTCTTGTTATCATTACTAGCTGTACCCGTTGCAACTATGCTTACAGCCATTTAATTTATTTGGTCTTCTCTCTTTTGTCTACCATTTGTACTTTCCCTTGAAAGGCTTGATCTTCGTTTCTTAGGCATCTTTATCCCTTAAGATTATGAATATGTGCTATTGAATATTAGCATCCCTTGTTCACATATTTACACACATCTTGTGGGAGGACTCATGTTGGGAGGACTCAATGGGAGACCTCAGTGAAGGCTTCCTGGTTAGGAGACCTCCTGGTTAGGAGACCTCCTGGTTAGGAGACCTCCTGTTAGGAGACCTCCTTGTTGGAGTCCATACATGTGTGATCAGCTTGTTTAGGTCATTTAGGAGATCTCCGAAAAAATATGCCCATGAAAACTTCCCAATGGAAGATCTTTCCGATGAGGTTTAAATCATGCTCTAAGTCTATTGATCATTGCATTATTGGCAGACAAGCAGACAGACAGATAGATATTTTGTCTTTATTAGTGTAGAAGATAATGTCAATCCAAACATACCTCACAATTTACAGTGGTGCAGAATTCTTAAATGTACCTCTGATATGCTCCTCGCCTGTGAGGTTTTAGCATGCCAACAAAAAATCGGATTTCACAGAATTGAATGTTTTAATCTGAAGCTTTTCCTTCTCTTTGTGCGTTTAATGCACGAAAGTTGACGTGCAGCGTGATAAATACTGAGTTGAGTGATTGGGATTGTGCACAGGGACATCCCATATTCCTGAATTGAATGACCAATTTTTATCTGGACCATTGTTGGTCATCACTGGGAGAATCTGCCAAGAAAGATCACGAGATTTTTAATGTCCACCTGAACAGGCACACACAGTAAGTACCTCAGTTTATCGTCTCACCCGAAGGTCAGCACCTCTGACAATGCAACTGCAGTACTTACTCCACACACCTTTAGTAACCCAGCAGCAGTAAGTCGGAACCCAGCTGGTAGTCGATCGGGGGATCGCTTTCTGGGATAATAATTCCTCAAAAAAAATGTTGTTCCTCAATTCACGACTATTTGTGGGACATTACTGTGCTTAGTTGGCTGCCGCGTTTCATCCACAGTCTTCACAGTATATTCTGTGAAGCACTTTCAGATGTCTCATTGGCGTGATAAGACACTATACCAAATGCAGTATTATTATTATTGGGGTGTCAGCCTCGATTGTGAGCTCAAAGGCTCGAACCCACACAAACCTCTTAAAACGCTTTGAAATGAAAATGTTAAAAATAGGCAAATGTATATGATCTTTTAATAATAAGACTGTTACTAATAGAACAGTTGACTGTGTTTTGCCTGCAGGTACCTGGCGAGGATGGAAGACATGGAGGCGACCGACACGGAAAATCCAGACCTGAATTACGGAGTGATCGTCGACTGTGGCAGCAGCGGCTCCAGAGTGTTTGTGTATTTCTGGCCCCGGCACAACGGGAAGCCTCACGATCTGCTGGACATCAAGCAGATGAAGGACAGCAACAGGAAGCCAGTGGTGAAAAAGATCAAGCCAGGTACAGTGGCGGTCAGTGAAGGGGGGCGCGGCGTTCTATGGCACCCGTCAGCATTTAGAGCGTAGCTCAGTGGTTAAAACGCTCGCTTTGCAAGCGAGAGGACCCGGGTTCGATTCCCGTGGAGGGCGAAATGTTGTGCAAGTTTCCTTACTCCACACGGCTCCGTTTACCTAGCAGTAAGTAGGAATCTGGTTGTTAGTTGATTGGCGGATCACTTGCCCGGGGTAATAATTCTGTGGGTAATAATAAAAGAAATGTGGTCACTTAATCCACGACTGTTTGTGGGACGCTGCTGTGCGTAATTGGTTGCCTCATTTCATCCGCAAATTACACAGTCAATTCACTTTACAGAATATCCTGTGAAGCCTTTTGAGACTTCTCGAAGACATGATAAGGCACCATATCAACTGCAAGGATTATTATAAAAAGAAATGCGCACGTACGTACACACTCAAAAGCATTTGATATTTAAGGTTGTGTTTCGAACTTCTTTCAAGCGGTTGGTTTGCATTGCACTGCTATGTGGGTTTTGATACTCTGGAACTCTGTCTTTCTGTAGAACTTTGCTGCCTCCCTGTGGCACTGAGTTGCACCTGATCTCACGCTAAAACCCTCAGTTATTACATATTTTATGTTGGAGCTGATCATCAGTGCACTCAATCTCTGTACAACCACTGCTGGCATTTATGCACAACCATTTACAATAATTATAATCCTTGCCTTTGATATAGCACTTTATCGCCTCGTCTCAAAGCTTTTCACAAGATATACTGTAAAGTGGATTGACTGTATATTTTGTGGGCGAAATGCAGCAGCCAATTGCTCACCGCAGTGTCCCACAAACAGTTGTGGAGTGAGGGACCGGTATTATCTGGGCGATTGTTGGACAGGAAGCATCTCAAAGGGCTGTACAACTTTACTTGAATCCAAGTTGTATCCTGGCAATTGAAGTATATTTTCACGATTTTTGGGGGGGGTCAGCACCCTGATACATGCAGACACTCATTGCCGTGCTCGAGAGTATATCAAACCAGACTGGGAGTTTCATGTGCAACGCTTACACATGGAAATTTCCTCGTGTCCGGGGGAGAAAAGGTTCACAAAAACGGACACCTTTCTATTCGGGTAACTACAGAGAAACCCTGTTATAACACTGCGGACGGAATCCGTGATCTCAGGCCCTCGCATTAAAACAGCACCATGAACTTCCGGGTCATCAGATCACCACTGACATCGCTTCCTGTGTGCTATGTGCAAGAAGGCGGCGCTTCCCGTGCGTTTCCTAATCTCTTTTGTCTACATTGTGAAAATGCGTAGTTACAGTCAGGCTCAGCCAATCAACAGACTGCACCACTCAAACATCCACAAGATAACTAGATCTGCTTTATAATTAAAGTGAGGTTACTTTCCTCGGGCAGTGAGTGGCACTTTCACTTCTGGGTCAGAACTTTGAGTTTGAGCCCCACCCGACCGCACACATACACACACACGTGCACACACCCCACATCAGGGACTTTGAGCTCACAGTGCAGACTGCCACTCCAGAGCAATGCTGAGGGAAGCGCTGCATTGTCCATGGAGCCATCCTTCAAATGAGACCTTATCAGGTGAGGTAAAGCAAAACCCCATTCTGTGCCTGTTCAGTGTTAAAGATCCCGCAATACAACTGGAAAAGAGAAGGGAGTTTCTCCCGCTGTCGTGGCTGGGTCTCAATCCTCCAGATCTAAATAAGCTGTTCATTTGCTTCTTGACTGTTTGTGGGACCTTCGCCACAAACAGTGACCGTGTTTGTCGACAATAAAATATGTCGCTGGACAGCTATTCCCTACAAAGCGCTCTTTCTTGAGGTGTTTCACCCTGTCTTGTCTTTGTAAAAATTCAAGTTATTTAGCAATTGGAAAAATAATTTTGTCACTCAATCCGCGACCGTCTGTGGGACCGCGCAATTGGCTGCAGCGTTTCATCCACAAAATATACAGTCAATTCACTTTACAGTATATTCTGTGAAGCGCTTTGAGAAGTCTGAAAGACACGATAAGGCGCAGTATCAAATGCCAGGATTATATATTATATAAAGATGCTTTTGTGAAATAGACTGAGAAACGTGCAGCTACACTGCTCCCTGGTGGCGCCTTTTGTTGGCTGCAACTGCACAAACTGCGTTGAGGTTTTCTGTAAGTAACAATAATCCTTGTGTTTGATATAGCGCCTTTCACCTCAGGAGGCGTCTCACAGAGCTTCACGTGATTCATTGTGACTGTGCATTTTGTGGGTGAACCTGTATAAATCGTATGTTACCATTCTTCGGATCGGACGTTAAAACCAAGGTCAGGTTGATGTTACATTCTCATAAGATAGGGTCGAATTCACCCAATCCATTTATTAGCAGGAACACTGCTTCAAGGCTACCCACACAGTGTTTCTGTGGGATTAAGGGAATTCTAACAGTATTCCTTATTAGTCATCTTGTTAAGGAATATCCCAAATTAAACTCTGTTGTCGCTGTAACCTTCTCTCAGAGCTCTTCACACAGTGCCTCACCACCCACAAGGTTAGTAGCTTTTATACAGTCAACTAATCTATCCCAGCAACATCCCCACACACAGCAGTGATAATAATAATAATCCTTGCATTTGATATAGATCCTTATTACATTGTTGAGACGTCTCAAAGCTCTTCACAGGATATACTGTAAAGTACAATAATGAAATGTGACTGCAATTGGCGAAATGTGGCAGCCAATTGCACACAGCAGTGTCCCACAGTCAACAGCAACAACAACAACAAAGTTACGTTTGTATAGCGCATTTCACGTCGGGAGGACGTCCCAAGGCGCTGGAGAGTCAAGAGTTTCGCATCCGAGCTAAGGTTCAGGATTGGGGAGGGTGGAGGGCAGTGGGGGAAGCAGGGAAATTGAAAGCATGGTCGAAGAGGAGGACCTTGATAATAATAAAATAATAAATAATAATAAAAAATTGGTCAATTTCAATCTACGACTGTTTGTGGGACATTGCTGTGCGTAATTGGCTGCCGCGTTTGCCCACAAATATGCCGTCAATTCACTTTACAGTGTGTTCTGTGAAGCGCTTTGGGACATCCTCCTGACGTGAAAAGCACTATATCAAATGCAAGGATTATTATTATTAAGGAGGCAAGGGAGGGGGCGAGACGGAGGGACTGTGGGATGGCATTCCAGATTGTGGGGGCAGGGTGGCAGAAGACCCGCCCGCCAATGATGGGATGGACGAGGTGGGGTACGTGAAGCGAGCTGGAGCCCACTGAGCGGAGGGAGTGGGCAGGATGGTAGGAGGTTAGGAGTGGGGGGGAGGTCGGGGGGAGCAAAACCATGAAGGGCTTTGAAGGTGAGGTCCAGGACCTTGAACTGCAACCTCTGTGTGATGGGAAGCCAGTGGAGTCAGGCAAGGATGGGAGTGATAGGGACATGGAACCTGATGTGGGAGAGGACACAGTTTGTAGAGTTCTGAATAATCTGCAGCCTATGGAGGGAGGTGGGGGCGGTCAGAGTGAAAGGAGTTAGGAGTTGGGGAGGCCAACAAGGAGTTTTCACAGTCCAGCCATGATGTAATGCGTGTATGAGGATTTCGGCGACCTGCGGTGTGAGGCAATGGCAGAACCAGGCGATGTTGTGGAGGTGGGGTAAGACAGAGTGGGTCATGGCACGGATGTGGGGTAGAATCAGGAGAGCCTTGGTCTTGTTGACATTCAACTGAAGAAAGCTAGCTGTCATCCAGGACTTGTTGTCTGACAGATATTCTGACAGGACAGCACTGGGTCCTGGAGTCAAGGGTGGAGGCAGAGAGGTAGAGTTGGGTGTCACCCGTATACATGTGGTAGTTGACCCCATGTCTGTGGATAATGTTACCAAGAGGGAGATATTGAAGAGGAGGGGATCAAGGACAGAGCCCTGAGGAATGCCACACAAGATGGTGCGAGGCCTAGAAGGAGAAACCCATTTGTCGGGGAATTGTTGGCTAGGATACTGGGAGAAATCTTTTTGAATAGCGCCATGTGATATTTACAGTCCACCTGAAAAGGCAGATGGGACCTTGTTTAACATCTAATCCGAAGAATTGCACCAATGACAGTGCAACCCCCTCACCCACCCCACCTAGCACTGGATTGGAGTGTCAGCCCTGCCTGTGAGCCCAGTGGTCCCAACGTGGGGCTTAAACCCACAATCTTCTGAATGCAAGACAGAGTGCTACCGACCCAGCCAAGCCAATGCATAATTGTGTCGTGGCTGACAAACCTCCAGGTGATTTTGTGATTCACCCAGAGGGCTGTTGGTGGTACTTTGTCAGCAAAATAGGCTACAAAATTATTTGCATACAATCATCAGTTGTCACTATGTATTGTGACCGTAATTACCTGTGCCTGTAATTACCTGTGAAGTTCTTTGAGGCGTCCTGACATAATGAGTCTTTGCTTCCGCAGGGATCTCAACCCTGGCTTTCAGCCCAGAAAAAGCCAGCGATTACCTCCGCCCGCTCCTGAGTTTTGCTGCCAGCTATGTACCTACCCCGAAGCATAAGGAGACACCCTTGTACATCCTCTGCACCGCTGGAATGAGGCTTCTACCTGACAGGTATTACAACAAAAACAACAAATTGCACTTGTATTGCGCCTTTAACGTCAGGAGAATGTCCGAAGGAGCTGGACAGGGATTTGGACCCGAGCTGGAAGTTGGATCGGGAGGGAGGGTAGGGCTAGGAGGGTGACCGAAGTTGGAGTCAAAGAGGAGAGTCTGGAGATGTGGCAGTGGGATGGAGTTCCAAAGAGTGAGGCCAGAGACTGAAAGCCCGACCGCCGATGTTGGAGTGAGCCAGGTGGGAGACATTGAGCAGACTGCTGAGTGAAAGGAGCAATTCTAATCGTTCAGGGACTGTTTTGCAGCATTCTCACAACAGTTGACCACACTGATATCCTAAGGCTGACACTCCAGTCTAGTGCTGTATTGGCCCCGGCCTTCCCATGTTTAGTGACGGATAAACAGTCAGGGTTCCGGCTCCTCCCTCTGCAGCGCCATCTGATCTGTGTGTGTCTATCTGTGTGTGGCAACTGGGTGGGGAGAGGTCAGGCTCAGCTGTGATGCCCTCTACAGGCAAGAGACCTAATGATACTCACTGCCCAGGCTCACACTTGGACAATGGTCACTTAGGAGAATGCCAGGACAGGAGGCGATATTGGATAAATTCTCAATGTGTGGTTTTCCATTGCACCCACACAGCCAGCAGCAGGCCATTCTCAGGAACCTGTACACAGACGTTCCCCTGGAGTTTGACTTCCTGTTTTCTGACTCGCACGCAGAGGTGATATCTGGTAAACAAGAAGGTACGGAATCCGCCGGGTGCCTGACACATCCTATCTAATCTAACAACAGTAACAACCCTTACATTTGATACAGCTTTATCATGTCTTCGAGACGTCTCAGAGCGCTTCACAGATTATACTGTAAAGTGAATTGACTGTGTATTGTATAGGCGAAATGCGGCAGCCAATTGCGCACTGTGGCCCACAAACAGTTTCTTGGCTTCTTACTCTCTGTCTGTTACTAAGCTATAGGATTCTTTCCTCAGGAGTTTACGCCTGGATTGGAATCAACTTTGTTCTCGGACGATTTGATCATATTGAAGACGGTGAGTGCAGTTGCTGTATTGTAACCTGTTTTTTCGGTAGCAAACTGCAGTTTTACCAGTTACAACACCACACACTCTAGGAATCCCCCAAGCCTTGGCTCTTGCCAACTTGTGCCTAATGCTCTCCAGTGCGAGGTAAGCAGAGCGTGTCCTTCCAGGGAGAGAGTGCATATTGCCCTCCCGATACGGGAGATTATCCATGTGTTGGTGGCACACGTATGTGGAATTCTGGTTTGGATACTCTTAAGAATGATGATGGTTTTCCGCATGCGTCAGACACCCAGCTGAACAATTAAAAACACCTCTTGGCAGCATGAAAGAATTTGTTTATAAATCAAAAAAAATCCTTGCTTTTGATGTAGCACCTTATCACATTGTCGAGACTTCTCAAAGTGCTTCACAGGAGGTTTGTCTGATTCGTGGGCAAAACGTGGCAGGGAATTGCACGCAGCAGTGTCCCACAAACAGTCGTGGATTGAGTGACCAAATATTACTATTACTATTTAATCCCATTTGACAAAGCAGCTATGGCATTGAAATCCCTCAAAGCACTTGAAAGAGAAGTTCTGTAGAGAAAGTGTAGTGAGCTGTGTATTTTGTAAACCAATGCAGCAGCCATTTTCTTCATACAGCCAAGAAGAGAATGACCGATTCTATCTGAGGGACTGTTTGCCTGATCACCCGAATCCCGGGTTTATGTATCGGACCCCAGAAATTCCCCCCAGATAAAATTGGTCATTTATTTCCTGGCTGTTTGAGGGACGTTGCAGTTGGCTACTGAATTTTAAAACGCACAGTCACTACACTTCAGAGTAAAATCATTGCGCACAGCAGTGTCCCACAAACAATCGTGGATTGAAAATGACCAATTTATTATTGTTTTGGAGGGATTATTATAGGCTCTGTGTGGAGTAAGGAAACTTGCCCGAGGTTTCGCCCTCTGCCTGGAATTGAACCCAGCCACTTCCGTGAAGTATATTTTGTGAAGCCCTTTGAGATGTCTCGAAGATGTGATAAGACGTTGTATCAAATGTAAGGTTTATTATTTTTATAGAGTCTGATAGAGTCACACAGTCTGACCTCTGGTCCTGATGGCCATTGGTATGTCTGAACCCCTTTTGTCTCGCTTTTTGCCAGAAGAAGATGCTCTGATGGCAGTGACCGTTTCCAGCAATCCCAAGCAGGAACCCGTCGTACGGAAACAGACGGTGGGAATCCTGGATATGGGTGGGGCCTCCGTCCAGATCGCCTATGAAGTCACAGCTCCAGTGACATTCACCTCTCAAGAGCAGGTTAGTATGTTAATCATCGCTAAATCCTTTTTTATTTTAACTGATTTTCATCAATAAATATGGTAACAAAAGATTCCCTCCTCCCCCCCAATTTAATTTTTAAAATTCACATTCGCCGACTTTTCTTTTTATATGTATATACTATTCAAAAAAGAAATGTCTGTCTGTCTGGGTATCTGCCAATAACGCAGTAACCGATTGACATAGAGACATGATGTATACAACAGTAACAACTTGGATTTATATAGCGCCCTCCAAACCGGACGGCATCTCAGCGTTATTTCAACGGAAAGTCTTGCATGGGGGAGTGTCATGGGTATATAAATATTTTCTGGGGATCTCCTATTGTTGATGAGCTATATTAAAAAATGTTTTACTCGGTGCAAATCCATGACTGTCCAGTGCCTTGGGGCATCCTCCTGATGTAAGAGGCGCTGTATAAATGTAATTCCCTCGATTGCATTCTCTTCTCTTCTTCCCATCTTTAAAATCTACGTTAAAAACTTTCTAAGCGCTTTGAGATGTCTTCCCTATGTGAAAAGCCCTATATAAATGTATATTTTCGATTAGATTTTGGTTACCTCACTATTCCCCACCCCCAAACACACAACATTACATTTATATAGCGCCTTTCACGTCGGGAGGATACACACACACACACCTCGTGCTGTCAGTCGTTTCTAAGAAACACTTTGAGATGTCCTTGCGACAAGAAAGGCGCTGTGTAATTGTAAAACGGTTGTGTAAAAATGCTCGAATCTCTCTTTTAAGATGTGTGCACTTGTCATTTGTCAGGAAGAAGCTGCCAAAAACGTACTGGCGGAGTTTAACCTGGGCTGTGACTCCCAGCACACCCAGCATGTCTACCTTGTCTACGTGGCCACCTTCCTGGGCTTCGGGGGTAATTACGCCCGTCAGCATTACGAGGACCTCATTTTCAATCAGACCATCAGCACGAACAGGTACAGTGAGGACCCAGCTGATAGCTTCCCAGTCAGACCCCAGGATACTTAACAATAATAATCCTTGCATTTGATATAGTGTTGTATCACACTGTTCAGACGTCTGAAAAGGTTTCACAGGATATACTGTCTAGTGGAGTGACTATATATTTTGTGGGCAAAATATAGCAGGCAATTGCACACAGCAGTGATCAACAAACAGACATGGAATGAGTGACCAATTTTATTTGAGGGATTCTCGATCAGGACACTTTTTTCACCATGGGATCTTTAACGTCAACCTGAACAGGCACAGACAGGACCTCGGTTTAACGTCTCATCGGACGGCATTGAATTAAATTTAATTTTAATTGAATGCTCTTATTGGGTGGGGTGGGATCTATTAAACTATTGAGGGTTTGAAATACATAAAGTTGAATGGGCTAATTTGCTGTTGGAATCTTTGCTGATTAACCTATTGCTCAGTTGTTCAGTGTTGGGGTTAAGCTCAGGGCAGTCGGATTGTTGGAACACACATGTCAAAAGGACTCGTGGTGCGACCATTGCGGAGTGAGCTCATCTTTCCCACCCACCCACTCTCACCTGTGTACCACCGGCTTGTGCTCTGGGTTCAAATTGTTTGAGATCGCTTAAATGAATTGCATTGCCACCCTGCATGAGGGGCATTATGTAAATGCAAGTTGTTATTGTTGTTACGTAAGTTAAGGGAGCAGCGGCTTGGGACGTCCTCCCGACGTGAAAGCGGCTCTATAAATGCAATTTGTTGTTGTTGATCCTGGGAGTGTATTACAGGCTGGAATCAGAAAATCGTAGCATTATGCAGCTCAGAAGGAGGCCATTCGGCCCAACGTGTCTGTGCTGGCTCTTCGAAAAGAGCTTCCAAACCAATCTCAATTCCCTGCTCTCCCCCCATAGCCCTGATCAGCCCCACTCCCCCACTCTCTCCCCATAGCCCTGATCAGCCCCACTCCCCCTGATCAACCCCACTCTCCCCATAGCCCTGATCAGCCCCACTCCCCCGCACTCTCTCTCTCCCCATAGCTCTGATCAACCCCACTCCCCCGCGCTCTCTCCTTAGCCCTGATCAACCCCACTCCACTGCTCTCTCCCCATAGCCCTGATCAACCCCACTCCCCCCGCTCTCGCCCCATAGCCCTGATCAACCCCATCCCCCGCTCTCCCCATATCCCTGATCAACCCCACTCCCCCACTCTCTCCCCATATCCCTGATCAACCCCACTCCCCCACTCTCTCCCCATAGCCCTGATCAACCCCACTCCCCCGCGCTCTCCCCATAGCCCTGATCAGCTCCACTCCCCCCACTCTCTCCCCTCAGCCCTGCAAACTTGTCCTCCCCAAGTAATTATCTACTTCTCTGTTAAATAATAATAATAATCTTTGCATTTGATATAGTGCTTTTCATGTCTTCGAGAAGTCTCAAAGCGCTTCACAGAATATGCAGTAAAGTGAATTGACTGTATATTTGTGGGCGAATTGGCTTCCACCAGCCTTTCAGGCAATGTATTCCAGATTCCAACAACTCGTTGTGTGGAAATATTTCTTCTCATCTCCCCTCTGTTTCTTTAACAACTATTTTAAATCAGTGTCCTCGGGTTACCGACCCACCCGTCAGTGGAAATAGTTTCTCCTTGTTCACTCTTAACAAGTGAATCCCCTCATAATTTTGAAAACTTCTATTAATTCTCCTCTTAACCTTCTCTGCTCCAAGGAGAATAATCCCGGTTTCTCTACCTCTCCTGATAACTGAAGTCCCTCATTCCTGGTGCCATCCTGGTCAATCTCCTTTGCACTCTCTCCAATGTCTTGACATCCTTCCTAAAGTGTAGTGCCCAAAACTGAACACAGTCTCGCTGAGGGCTAACCAGTGTTTATATAAAGGTTCATCATAACTTCCTGACTGTTGTATTCTATGTACCTATTTATAAAGCCTTGTATCCCGGATGCTTTTTTAACAGCTTTATCTGCCTGTCGGGCCACCTTCAAAGATTTAATTGTATGAACCCCTCAGGTCTCTGTTCCTTCACCCCCTTTAAGATTCTCCCCAAAGATTTTCTTTGGGGGGGAAAAGGTTATGGTTAGAGATGAGGTTAATGGAAGGCAATGTGCTGCTGATGAGAGGCCCTAACAAGGCTGATTCTGGGCTGTTTCTGCAGGCTGACCGGGAAACGTACAGGTCTGAGTGCCGAAGCCCCGATTCCGGACCCCTGCCTCTCCATCGAGTCCGTCGACACCATCGAGAAGGAGGGCCGCTTGATGCATCTGAGAGGCACGGGGGAGTTTGACGTGTGCCGGGCGCTGGTCAGGCCCTTCCTCAACAAGGGCAACGAGACGGGCGGCGAGGCTCTGAACGGCATGTATCTATCGCCCGTGGACTTCCAGAGGAGCGAGTTCTATGGCTTCTCGGAGTTCTATTACTGCACTGAGGATGTACTGCGCATGGGAGGGCAGTACCACAGCACCCGCTACCTCAGGGCAGCCAAGGTGAGGCTTATCTCCTGCTGTTCACCCCAGAGCGGGCAACGTACACGAGACCTTTAACGTTTACCCAGAATAGCCACGGATGGTTTAACATCTCTGGCAAAGGACGGCACCCTCGACATTGCAGGACTCTCCCACCGCCCCCCAACTCCCCCCAGCAATGCACTGTAGTGTCACCTCAGACTGGTGGAGTCCTGTAGCTCAGTGGTTAGCGCACTCGCATCGCAAGCAAGAGGACCTGGGTTTAATTCCTGGGCAGGGCTAAACCTTAGGCGAGTTTCCTTAATCCACACGTCTGTTTACCAAGCAGAAAGTAGAAACCCGGTTGTCAGTTGATTGGGGATTGCTTTCCTGGGCAATTTCTTTTTTAATCAGGTTAATTATTTTTGTCCTCGATTTCCAGTGACGGGTGATTGGGTAACCCGAGGACAAAAATAATCCCTTCAAAACAAAAATAATAATAATTTTGGTCACTTTTCTATGACTGTTTGTGGCACACTGCTATGCACAATTGGCTGCTGTATTTTCACCCACGAAATACACAGTTTACAGTGTATTCTTTGATGCACTTTGAGACATCTCAGTGACATTATATGGCGTTATATTAAATGTAAGCATTATTATTATTATTCTATAGATAGTTTAATAACCTCGACCTTCTGACTGATTGAGAGGCAAGAGTGTTACTGAATGAGCAGGTATGATGCTTTACATCAAGTCAATTTAACGTCATATTCTCTCAGAGACTGGTTTCTTCCCTCCTCCCCCCCACCCCCAGGGAGTGGTAATTTGAAGTGCTCCGCTCACACCAGTCCCCGCGCCTGTGGCCTGAGTTTTATTTCCCCCTTTTCTCCCCAGGATTACTGTGCCACCAAATGGACAACGTTAAAAGAACGCTTCGAACTCGGCCTGTTCTCATCTCACGCTGACCTTCACCGATTGAAGTAAGTCTGCCAAAGACAGGACTTGGAACAGATCTGTGCAAATCTGTTATCTGGGACAGATTTTAGGACATATTCAGGACTGAATATTCAGAAGATTTAGAATCTCGTCTGTCAATTCTTTCAAAATAATACCTTGGGATACAGTATATAGTTTGGGACAAATCAACACCAAACAACAAATTACAAGCACGTTTCATGTCAGGAGGTGGTTGGGATCAGAAAAGGTGGAGGGCAGGGAGCGTAGGAGTATGAGGCTGAGTAGGAGGCAAGGTCAAAGTGAGACGGGTCTTGAAGGAGGCAAGGGAGGGGAGTAGGCGGAAGGACTATAGGATGGAGTTCCACAGGGTGGGGGCAGAGAGGCTGAAGGGACAGGACATGTCCAAGCGACTGCCAGGATGGTGGAAGGCGAACTGGATGGACCTTAGTCTTCTTTCTCCATCAAATTCTTATGTTCGCAGACCCTCAGATGAGTAACGCATTGGGAGCATTTCACTGATCTAGTCTCCTACCATTACAGGTATCAGTGCTTCAAGTCAGCCTGGATGCATCAAGTGCTACACGGAGGCTTCAACTTCCCAGCCAACTACTCCAACCTGAGGACTGCCCAGCTGGTCTATGACAAGGAGGTGCAGTGGACACTGGGAGCAATTCTTTACAAGACACGGTTTCTGCCTCTCAGGTATAGACAACAACAACAGCAACTTGCATTTATAAAGCGCCCTTCACACCTTATGGCGTCTTGTAACGCTTAGACTTTCTATTTTCCCTCCCAGCTCCCCCGATGTAGCAACACTCAGTGAACATGGGAAGACTTTGCAAGCTTTTTAAAGTGTACTTAGAGAAATGGATCAAGCTGTGATGTTTCTACCTTCTCTCCTTCCCACCCCCTCCCCCCGCAGGGATCTCCGGCAGGAAAATCTCAAGCCGAACCACTCCAGCCTGCTCCGCTTCTCATTCGTCAACAACCACTACCTGCTCTTTGCCTGTTTCTTTGTCGTCCTGTTGTCCATCATCCTGTACATCCTGCGTCTGCGTCGCATCCACAGACGAGCTCAGCAGGAGCTGCTGTGGGTGGAGCGAGGAGAAGCTTCGAGCGGAGAGACGTGACGAGCCCTGGGCGAAGAGAACACGAGAGAGAGAGAGCAGAGCGGAGGTGAATGTTCAGTTGGAGAGGACGTGCTGAAAGCCTTGAAAGGTGTTGGTGTTCCAGAAAATATTTCTCTTCACAATGATCCCAGTCTCTTGTTCAAAACATTCCAGTCTCTTCAAAATGGTCCCAGTCTCCTCTGCAAATTTATTCCCAATTTCTTCACACATTCCAGGTCAGAGTTGGCCCTACCTAGCTTTGAAACGCTCAACCAAATTACACCAGTGTTCCCCTGGCCAAAGTCAGCTGAGGTAATCAGTATAGGGTTAGACCTACACTGCTTCCCAACCTCATGATTGTCATTCCTGGTCAGTCCAGACACTCTCTTTCCTATCCCACAGCCCAGACTACCCACCCACTAATTTTTTAAAGCTGTGACCAAATTTGTCAGCCTGATGCAGCAGCACTCGTGCCCCTGAGTCAAGGTAGTTGGATCAAATCCCACATCAGGATGTGAACTCGCAGAATTTTAGCTGATGTTAGTATTATTGCAAATATGCAAGTATTATAATAATTATTAATAACTAAATGTGAACTAAAAAATTAAATGTTGAAAAGGTAAACTAAAAGACAGAACCACGCTGAAGTAATTAAATATGCAGAAGAGGCATTATGTGAATTGCGAGTTGTACATTACTAACCTTGAGGATTCAGGAGCCTGTCTAGTTTCATTTTGAAACACTTTCTAGTTTCCTGTTCTACTATGCTGGCTTGTTCTCCACAAATAACTGATCTCCTTTTTACCCTTTAACTTTCTCTGTACTTCCTATTTGCATTTGTTTTCTCTGGCCACTTGTTCCTCAATTTTCTACACAGCGGGGAACATGTGTGCGTCCAAATCTTTCCAAGTCCTATCTATTTTAAACATTTCTATCTCTTCACACATTCCCTAATGGGTAGGATGGTCCTAGCTGCTTGTCCAGCTCGCACCATCCTACCCATTAGGGCTTTGACTTGTAGAGTTATTGAGCTGAATGGGATAGTTCTCTTCCCCCATTGACTGGTCTGCCCTTCCTGATCCTGCCGATGAGCCAGGTTGGGCTGTGCTGTCATCAGCAGTGCGTGCCCAGGGTATTGCGGATCTGCTTATATATGTCTAGGCGAGTCTGCTTTAAATCAATGTTTTGTTTCCAATTTTTCCTGGATTGAGCATTTCTTTATTTTACGCCAAAAATCGAAAAATATTCAATCGAGAACATTTATTTTGTGGTCTGACCAAAAAACAACAAAATTACATTTATAGAGCACCTTTCACTAAGCTGTGACATATCTGAAGCCAATGTGATTTCCTTTCATGTTTGTTCCTGACTTTTGCGAGTATTAACGGAAAGAACCACTTTCTCTGTATTTTAAGAACAGCCTTTTGTCGAGATGTGTAATGGTAAGAATTTATTTATTTATTGGTGGGGGGTGGTGGGGGAGGAGTGGGGGTGAATGGGAGGGAGTGGTGGGGAGGGGGGTGGAGGGGGAGTGGGGAGGGAGGGAGTGGGGAGGGAGGGAGTGGGGGGGTGGAGGGGAGTGGGGAGGGAGGGAGTGGGGGTGGAGGGGGAGTGCTGGGGAGGTAGTGGGGGGGAGGAGTGGAGTGGGAGAGAGTGAGGGTTGGAGGGGTGGATGGAGGGGGAGGTAGTGGGGGTGGGGAGTGGGGGGGAGGTAGTGGGGGTGGAGGGGGGATGGAGGGGGAGGTAGTGGGGGAGGTGGCGGGGTGGGGAGAGAGTGGAGGAATGGGGGGAGTGGGGAGTGGGGGGAGGTAGTGGGGGTGGAGGGGGGATGGAGGGGGAGGAGTGAGGGATGGAGGGGGAGGGAGTGGGGGGAGGTGGCGGGGGTGGGGGGAGGGAGAGTGGAGGGAATGGGGGAGTGGGGGAGTGGGGGGTGGAGGGGGAGTGGGGGGTGGAGGGGGAGTGGGGGGTGGAGGGGGAGTGACATATTTATTGGTCCGTTTGAGGAATTCAGCAAAAGACCGGTCGGTCGGTCGGTCGGTCGGGTCACCCGTAAAACACGGAGCTAAAGGGGAATCCATAACAATTCTTTGGGATGCGGAATGGACTGTCTCGGAAAGGTCACAGATTGAAGCGATTAAAAGAAGATCTCGAGATTGATTTGGATGAGGAAGGCCTTTCAGCCCATCGGTTCCAACCCTTTTAGAGCACTCACTCCAACCTTCCCCTCCCCCAATCACAGCATTAAGCTGATTCCTGTTCAAGAGAGAGACAGATGCTTATTGAATGAGGATAATAAGAAAAGGCAGAGAAATGGCATTGAAGAGAGTTGATTGTGAATCTGAGTGGCTTCCCCCTGTTGCAAGGATATGGGCCTTTCCCAACATCCCAGAGCGTGGTACTGGGCTACAGATTTTGTTAGACTGCTGTATGGAGCTGTATTGGCTTAGCCCATCTGGGACACGGCTCTTTTCCCAACAGTGCAGATGTCAAGAGGTGACTCTTGACCAATGTGTGATGAACAGGGGTTGTGGCTTCAGTTCGCTGTGCAGTGAGCAGCGCTGCGGTGGCCTTTGGTTTTTGCTATCCAAGAGCCAATGTTATTAACCCATCAATCCCCAGGGCGGTTAACTCGGACTTCAATCTGAGTGAGCTTTGATCTCTGACAAATCAGTTTCCTCGTGATCACTGAGCGGGTTCATTCTGCCCGGAGTTTATTTAACGCTGTATATTTGTAAAGGTTTTGAAGAAAAGTCTATTCTAATAAAATTCCACATTAATTTTTTCTCAAGAGTTCGATCACCTGGCTGTCTACTGTTCACAAACATGCCTCTGAAGTCAGTCTCCCCCTGTGTGTGTGCATTCTCCCCATGAGCATTCAATTTCAAGATCCTCTACAGAGCCCTTCATGCCCTGACACCTCCTTACCTTTCTGACCTGCTTTCCCCCCCACTCTACTACCTGCTACCTCTGCTCAGGTGGCTCCGGCCTCGTTTGTCCCTTGTCCTCTCCGCTCCACCATCGGCAGCCGTACTCCCAGCCACTATGCCCCGAAGCTTTAGAACTCTCTTCCCTCAGTCCCTCTCCCTTTCCCCCAATCCCTCCTTCCCCTCTTTTAAATAATGACTGAAGAACTTCCTCTTGCCGTGCTTACAGTCACCTCCTCCCTCCCCCCGGCTCGGCGTCAGGCTCCATCACTTTTACGCATTCAAGACTGCCCCATGTGAAGGTCGCTGTATAAATGCATGTTGTCGTGTGCCCTGCCATGAACTCACTCTGGTCTCACAATGTTCAGACACAACCTAGAGCAAAAATAAAATCTACCTACGTGGTTTCCACCAGAGCTGAGGTGTCACACTTTGATTTCAATCAAATTTAATGGAAACGGAAACCAGGACGCTTCTTTTGTGATGTGTGCTGTTTGCCCTCACTCAAACCCTGTGGCTAACCACTGGGGTGTTTTTTTGCTGAGTAATTGCTGATTGCTGGATCCTTATTAAGGAATCTAGTTAAGAAATGACACAAAATAAGAGTCCTGCCAATTCCACTTTGGACCACATTCAATGGGACTGTAACTACCTCTCCTCACCAACCCTCTCCCTCCCTCCACAATGATACATCAGTTACATGGGGCGGTGGATCGCTGTGGGGAAGAAAGTGGGAATAGAAGAGAAAGGAATCACCGATACAGAAAGATTCTATTTATATAATCCCCTCACACCCAACCTCGTCTCAGATAGCGAGCTGGTGTTGGAGTTTGTGTATGTACTCTGTAGTGTGAAAGATAATGGTTTATAATTCTCAAACTTCAATATGAGACGGATCATTCCCCCTCCCCAGAAACCTGGGACTTGCACAAGTGAATGTTTTAAGCCTGGCTGTTATAGAACAGTGAGAAGAACAGATCGACAGTAGTTACTAGGATTTCAAATCGTGATTTTTATTTTAAAAAAAGTTATACTGGATCTCTGAATAGCGCAAATATAGACTCTCAACAACCGATTCCTGCACGTTCAAGTGGTTTTTACAGTACTTTTAGCCAGAGACAAGATCGAGGATATTCACATAACAAGAGCAGCGTAGCAACATTCATCACCCAATGTTCAACCTGCCTGGCAATGCCAATAGCTTGGTGCTTTTGTTTCTCTTCCCGAGCACCAACTCAGGTAATGGGCTGGTTTGGAGAGTGGAGTCTTGCTCTAGGAATATTCCCCTCATTCTTTCCCCACCCCCCCTTCTCCCCCCCATCTCTCCATCTCCCCCTCTCTTCCCACCCCATTCCGCCCTCACTCCCCCTCATTCTCCCCCCCACTCACAACCCTCACTCCTCAGTTGCTGTGTGCAAACGGCTGCAGAGTTTCGCCCACAAAATACACAGTACAGTGTATCCCTGTGAAGCGCTTTGAGACGTCTCGACTTCATGATAAGGCGTCAGATCACATGCAGGGATAGTTATTAGGGCACTGTAAAAATGTCATTTGTTGTCATAACTGAATATTTTGACAATTTTAAAACTTTAAAAACTATCCCCACAGCGCCATACTATAGTGCAGCAAAGCTGTTGACATAATGAGACGCACTTAACAACAACAACAAAATGATGTTTGTAAAGTGCCTTTCATGTCGGGAGGCCATCCCAAGGCGCTGGACAGTGAGTATTTCGGACCTGAGCTTGTGGGGTCGTTATTGGGGGGGGGGGAGCAGGGTGTTCGAAAGCATGGTCAAAGAGGGGGGTCTTAAGATGCGTCTTGAAGGAGGCAAGGAAGGGGTCGAGGCGGAGGGACGGCAGGATGGATTTCCTGAGGCTGGGGGCAGAACGGTGGGGCGGGCGAAGCGGGGCACGTGAAGCAGACCGGAGCCCGCTGTGCAGAGGGGGTTAGGAGGTCACAGAAGTAGGGAGTAGCGAGGCCATGGAGGCCTTTGGAGGTGAGGACCAGGATCTTGATTTGTGTCCTCTGTGTGATGGGAAGCCGGTGGAGACGAGCGAGGATGGGGGCGATTAGGGTAATAATAATAATAATCCTTGCATTTGATATAGCGCTTTTCACATCTTCGCGACGTCTCAAAGCGCTTCACAGAACACACTGTAGGGTGAATTGACTGTATATTTGTGGGCGAAGGCGGCAGCCAATTGCGCACAGCAATGTCCCACAAACAGTCGTAGATTGAAAATGACCAATTTATTATTGTTTTGGTTTTGGAGGGATTATTATTAGGCTCTGTGTGGAGTAAGGAAACTTGCCCAAGGTTTAGCCCTCTGCCTGGAATTGAACTCAGGTCTCTCGCTTGCAAAGCGGGTGCTCTAACCACTGAACTACAGGACTCCACTGTGTAACGGAGCCTGGTGCGGGAGAGGACACGGGCTGCAGAGTTCTGGATGATCTGCAGCCTATGGAGGGAGGTACTGGGGAGGCTGACAAGCAGGGAGTTTGCAGGGAGTTGACTCCATGTCTGCGGATGATGTCACGAAGAGGGAGCGGATAGATATTGAAGAGGGGATCAAGGACAGAACCTGGAGAAATGCCATACGAGATGGTGCGGTGGCCAGAGGAGAAACCGTTTGTGGAGATGAAGTGGAGATACGAAAGCTGCATGGAAATGAGTGTAAAAAAAATTCCATGCAAGAAGAGAACACGTATTTGAATTTCTCTTTCGTCTCTTGACATAGTGCCTAATCATGTCGTCAGGGTGTCTCAAAGTGCTTCACAGGATACACTAAAGTGGATTGGCTATATTTTGTGGGTGGAACACAGCAGCACAATTGCGCACAGCAATGTCCCACAAACAGACATGAAGTGAGTGAACAATTTTATATGGGGGATTATTGGCCAAGACTAGTACCATGAGATCATCTCATCTAAAGGACGGCACTATCAAAAATGCAACCCCCCGCACCCCACCTCCAACCCTGCGTTGGATTGTCAGCTTAAGTTATGCGATTCCAAGTCCCGACATGGGGC